TCACGCTGAGCAAAGGCAATATGAGGTGACATGCTGCTTAAGTTTGTTTTAGACCTGTTTAAATGTTCTGTCCAGTTGAGCGCACACGTCCCTGGTTCTAGTTTGCAATTCATCGACAGAAAGCTTTTAAGGTGTCTGTCCTGTTTGCCTGCGCTCACATCTGTTGTTCTGCCCCGTTGCTTTTTCAGCTGAGGTACTGGAGTAGAAGCGAAAAGGAAGACACGGCCAGTATGCAAAGGACCGTTGGAAACCAAACGTCCACTATTATCCGTGGGTTGAAAGGCAGTACCACGTATTACATCTCGGTGAGGGCGTATAACACTGCTGGGGGTGGGCCTCCCAGCACCACTGTCAACGTCACCACCAAAAAACCACGTAGGTATCACAGCGAGGGATTACAGCCTGCCACTCTGCAACGGTTCATTTTTATTTGAGGCGAATAATGTTTTTCTTTCCTACCCTCAGCTCCCAGTCAGCCACCAGTTAAAGTGACATGGAACACATCAAACTCCAAGATTGTATTGAACTGGGAACAGGTCAGGGCCCTGGAGAATGAGTCAGAGGTCACTGGTTACAAAGTAAGCACCCAGTCGCTTGGCATTATCAGAAAATTGTGTTTGTTTCCCCGGTGTCTGAACCTGACTTTTGATTGGACTCGTGCCATATTTCCTCAGGTGCTGTACAAGAAGAATCGGCACAGCCGCCCCAACGTCATGGAAACCAACACGACCTCTGTAGAGCTCGCTCTGCCCACTGATGAGGATTATATCGTACAGATAAAGCCGTTTGGAGAGGGAGGGGAAGGCAGCAGTAGCAGACAGATCACCATCCGAGGGATACCAGGTCAGTGGAAAGCTAGTAAGTGCCTCCCTTGTCACTCCGTTGAATAATCCTCTCCCCTGCTAGCGTTTTGCTCGGACAGATAAGAAATCACAGTATCGAAAGAAACAGAGAGCTGGATAAGAGTATGCTACAAGAGACATTTATGTAAATATGGCCTATACTTGAAGCTTAAAAATATGAGCAAGTAAGATGAGCAATTTTTTAGAGTATCTTCAATGTCTCTTTGTGCTGCTTGAGTAATAACTTTCAAGTATTTTGGAATGAAGTGATTTCAGCTGGTAAGTACCGAGCCAGGCGCCACTGAAGAAATGAAATGCCAAAAGTCTTTCTTTTGTTTGTTTCATGGCAAACCGGCTAACAGCCTTGCTTCTTTTCAATTCCTTTCAGGCCCCAACGCAGTCGGCTCAGCATCCAAGGTCTCAACTCTATCAGCACTCAGTACAATAGCACTGTCTTTCACAGCACGGACATCTTTATGACAAACAGCTTCCAGCAGACGTTGCATCTGATGTGCAGACAGCTCAACGGCGGAATGCAAACACAGCCCACTCTGGTGTGACTAGATTCATTCATTTAGATTTTAGAGGCAGAAGGAAGATGCTGACGGAAAACGAAGAAAAAAGAAAAAAAAAAAAAAAAAAAACACACCATCGAGATGACAGGAAAGGACTCCCATTCAGCACCCATGTTAAGTAAAAGGGGATTGACTGATGTCGCGACTATGTTGTTACCAAAGCAGCTTTCATAAGAAAAAAAAAAAAAGAAAAGAAAAAAGTCTTGAATGCATCTTTTTGTATGACATGTTGAGCTTTTATAGATTTTTTTTTCATAATTATTTTGATGTTGGTCTGGGCTTTCTGGGGTGAAAACAATTAAGCGTGTGGCAAATTACATCATCAGTTATCCAAGTCTGGAGTTTAGGAATCTGATTGGACAGTGCACCTTTTGTCTTCTAAAATATTTACATGTAACTTTGGTTGTAAGACACCATAATCGCTTATTTTATGAAGTGAGTGTTCTAATAAGCTTATCTCCTACAACTCTGCATTTATGTATCTGCAATATTTCAATCAAAGCACTGCATCAACATGTTTGGTGTTTGTTGATATTGGTCATTATTCAAGTACTGTTAATGGAGAAGGGGTAAGCATTTCAAATCACGTGTCACCAGACAGCACGTTCTAAAGGAAGTAGCTGGTGAAAGTTAATTCAAAATGGACAAGATGGACTTGAAATTTCTTAAGCGTTCTATCTGCAAGAATGAGGGGAAAAAACAAATATTATATAATAATATAAAGAAAATCATGTTTACTGGCTCTAACTGCATAAAGAAAAGGTTCAGATTCATGTCAAATTTATCTAAATGCAATACTCACATACCATTTCTGCGTGTATATTCTTGTAATCATTTCTACTGTCCATACTGGCCCTTCAAAGCATGTCTGCACTGTGCAGGATATGAGACAAAATCCAGGCAGTGTTCAGCTTTCTGAATAAGCTTTAAGCGAACATAGATTGGTAGTTACAGCAATTTTCCTCATGAAATTACACTGACGCTGATATTGTGAGCATTTTGAATGTGATGCTTCCTGGAACTCAAATGTCAGGTAAGGATGTTATTCGGATCACAAACAGCACTTAAAAGCTTGAACTTGCCAACAGGGGAATTCTGAAGACTCATATTAGCTTCTGCTGAGCTCCAGATTTCAATTTTGCGAATAAGGAGGACTGTCAATGACGATGGAATTGCACTCGAAAGGGAGTGCTCCAGGGCCAGTAAGGACAGATTGAATGTATATTGCTACCAAAAAAAATCTGTTCCCGTCAGATAGCATGGAGAAAAAAAAAAGAAAAGGAAAGAGCGTTTTTTAGCACGTCAACATTTTGTTCAAAGTCTTCTTGTAGAAGAGGACCAACAAGTTCCAGAAAGTCAGAGTCCTAAAAGCCATTCCATGTGAGCTTGTTACCAGACACACAGCACCATGCTCTACTGGAGAGCCCCTCCCCTGGGTTCTTCTAACTTTTTCATAGGACTGCTTTGGTGAGCGGACCCTCGTGGCTGCCTCATGCTCCTCTTCTTTCAGTCGGCCCTGTGTTTTCGAGCTATTCTTTGCCTTCTGTGTGCCTCATCATATGTTCAAATTCCTCAGGTCCTTAAAGAGCCTTAACTTATCATGTGTATATCAAGAACATTAGAAACATAGATCTATGAAGCAGCCGCGGATGTTTACATGCTGCTGTGTCGATACATACTGTATGTGGCTGGGTCACTATGATTAGTTTGGATGGCATTCTGCTGTTTTGCATGGGATTTTGGCAATATATGAGGGCCCTGGCGCATTTTTATAGGTGTGTATTCCCACTAAAAGACAATGCTGCTGATCTTTTCCTTTCCCATTGTCTCCTAACGCCATGTGGGCGTGCTGTGCTACAGAGGTACAGTGCAGTCTGTATGTAGCTTGTAATCCAGTGAAGTAGTTTGTACTTTGAAGGGAGGTGTGCTGTAGGCTACTGGGTCGTGCTTAGATGCAAGAAATGCGTCAAGAAAATGTGTAAAATACAGTTTTGTACACTTCAAATCATTTATATAAAAGAACCTTTCTAAAGAGATTATTTACTTTGTTTTTATGTAATGACTCTGTTTCATACTGTAGCTAACTGTTGCGCAGCATGACTGTGAGTCTTCTCTTTTTTGCCTATCTGCAAACGGACTGAATGGCTTTATAGGAACATGCAAGGTCCACGCATCTGACAGGTTTGTGTATAGGCCTATTGTATGTGTACCGTGGAATCTGAACCATGATCAGCCCCCCCCCCCCCCTCCCCATTGTCTTTGCTTCTGTCTCAGTCAGCCCCTCTGAAATGTACTGCTGGTCTTCTGTCCATATACGCCCCTACATGAAGGGTTTCCTCTGTTGCTATTTGTTGTTTATACTGTGTTAATAAATATAATTGATTTATAGAACCGGACCCTCATCACGTTCTGTTGAAACATACGTCAATACAAATGACCTACATACAGGAGTAGTTCCACTTGAGCATTTTCTCAGACTACAAAGAAACTGAATGACATAAAATATCTGGATTTCACAGTTAAGAGGACCTGATCATTTCATTAGAATACACTTAAGTGATTGCGCACTCTATCGGGTAAGAAAACAAATGGAGTAAATGGTAAATAGACTTGAGCTTGTATAGCGCTTTTCTAGTCTTCTGACTACTCAAAGTGCTTTTACACTACATGTCACACCTTCACATTCACACACTGATGGTAGAGGTTGCTATGTAGTGACACCACCAGAAGTAACTAATCCCATTCATACACATGCATACGCCGCTGACAAATCAACAGGAGCAATTCGGGGTTAATGTCTTGCCCAAGGATACATCGGACATGTTGCTGCAGGAGCTGGTGACCGAGCCCCCAACCTTCCTGTTGGGAGGCGACCAGCTCTACCCACTGAGCCACAGCGGCAGGATTGTTGACTTAATCATCTTAATCTTATGGTATTAATGGTTTGAGAGCACAAAACACTGCATCATACATTTTCTATGAAGCTGTATTGCCTCATTCGGTTTTAAACACTGCACAAACAGCTGTGTTCTCAAAATAATAAATTCTCTCTTTAAAATGTAGGCATTTGTTTGAAATAAATAATCTCTAAAACAATCCAGTGATTGTCCTGTGTGACATGGATGTATGATGTATGTTCTTTTCATTTTTAAAGGCCCTCTCGAGATATTAAACACTGAAATTAGTACTTCTCGTAATTTTTGAATGTTTTTGCAGGATTGTTCTTCTAACAACATGTATGCTTCTGTATCTGTATAAAGTGTGTTGGTTGCAGATGAACACTAGATGGCACTAAAACCACACAGTCAACTTGAGTCTGCACAGATGCCGTGCTGAATTCGGCCACAAGATGGCAAAACAAATCTTTATTTGTGTTTAACTACAATGACACATTCATACATAAATTATATTTAAAAAAAAACCACATTTATTATTTATTATCATTTATTACATGTTATGAATTATTAATCCATGAAAGTCCTCTGATAATATGCACACACATTTAAAACCTTCAGGAGAAATGGTTTGGGGTCCAGTATCTTGTCCAGTGAAAGTTCGACATACTACAGCTCAACCAGAGACAGTGTTTGAATCATACTGAGACATTTATTTATGCATGTATGTTTTCCATTGAGACTGAATGCAAATACAGCAAATACACACCACCAAGCACTAGGGGAATGTAGAGCAAAAGGCAGTGGAGAATTGAAGGTGGAGGCTAACAGCAGAGTCATTTGATGCTCTTCACAGGGGGAAAAAAAAGCATCTATCCCCAACCTGAACTGTGTTGGTATTTTCTACTCTAAGTGGGCCAGTATGTGTTTCATTTTTGCTGGACAAAAAGTCCAGTTTTAGTTTTAGAGACACTATTTTGTCACTGATCTCAAAGTCACAATCTGTACAAGACAGTAATTTACGTTCATTACAGCTCGTCCTCACCTTGAGCAGACAGAAGAGGTTGTTTCTACATCTGCCTCCTGGTGGTGATTAACAGCACTTTCAGCTAACCACTGATAACTGGGGCTCTTGCTTCAATAAACATGTCTCAAAACATAAAGCACCCATTCAGCAGACATTTCTGCACTGGTGTCTTTCCAATCCTACTTCCCCGCCTTATCTCAGAAGCAAATCTGTGTGTGTGTGTGTTTGTTTGTGTTCTTGTCATGTTTTCCACACAGCTCTCTGGATATTCATATATAAATACAAGCTCTCCACCCTTCAACTCACCACCTCGCCCACAATGCACATCTTCTCTCCTGATGCCTTCAGCCGTTTCTCTTCCACCAGTTGTCTGACCAATACAGCAGAGACAGGCCTTTTATTCCAGCGGTTTACAGTTTATGTGCTGCTATCGCTGCAAGCAAAAATCTCTTTACAACAGTCCAGTGTCTTATGACCAGAGAAATAAAAAACAAAGCAAAATAGCATACACCATCTCATGTTTCCTCGGACACATTAACAGCAGTTTGACAGTTTCAGGTCAGGATGAGAGGGGTAAGACAACATGGGTGACAAAGCCATGGTCACAAGTGTTGGAAAAGCTTCTTTGAGTATCACTAACTCTGTGTTATAGGTTTTGGTTACACGTCTTTATGCATGAGAGTTCACAGTTTTCTCCCTTTAGAGGATAGAAGAAAGAATAATGGCTGCTTATTGCAAATCTTACGAGCAGTGTGCTTCACTGCTTATGTTAACAGAAGCACAATGACAGCAACACGGCTAACATTGGTCAGGCTTGATTAGAGGGACTGTTATGTATGATAAGTGATGCATAGTATAGTATTAAAGGTCATCCAAGATATATGTTACAGCCAACAGGTTTTCGTGGTAGACAGCTGCAATTGTAAGTCACACTATAAGTCTCGGCGTTGTCTGTGAGGGGGGGCAGGAAGGAAAAGCACAGGCCACACATTCACCACTCCTATAAATACAATTACAAACTCATACACCATAATTTAAGATTAAATCCAACAAAAAACAAAACAAGTACCCATGTTAATCTTGTGGTTTTGAACTTTTCAGGCAGTGTTTGTGAGCATGCACATATTGTTTTATTTCATTGAGTCACTGTTTAAAGCTGCAGTGATCCGTGCTTTTTTTTTTTTTTTTTAATACTGCGAATGAATTAAAAGACTGTGTCATGTGAAGATGTCGCTCAAAGTAACAATTACCTACACCGAAATATCCCCTGATTCCCTTTAGATAGCGTAGCATGCTAGCCACTTTCACCCCATTGTTGTAGTTATATTATGCAGATTAAAGCCCCGTTTCCACAGAGTGGTCCGGTTCAGTTCGGTCCGGTACGGTTACCATTTATTGGAGTTTCCACCGTCATAAGTTGGGAATGGTACCAAAATAAGGGATTGGTACCGTCCTACTTTTTTGAAACCCTTCAGTTGGGGTTCAAAGGGGAGCGATCCGACCCTAAAGGGTCCCTTGTTTACTGTGTCCCTGTTCTTCTTGAACGTTTAACTTAATTAATAGCTAGCTACACTGTGCTGGGCTGCTTTAATGTCACACTATTACATAGCTGACGCGGCTATCTCCATCTGGCTTACACTCCGCTTACCAAATAAGGTTACGGTTGGCTGTGGAAACGCAAGCAAGTTCAGGGTTTACCGTACCGAACTGAACCAAACTGTACTGAACCAAACCGGACCGTTTGGTGGAAACGGGGAAAATGTTAACCTTTACCTGGAAAAACCAATGAAATATCTACTAGCCCTAAAAGACCAATACAGACTGAAATGATTTACATGATGGCCGGATAACTCCAAACGAGTTAATGTCTTACTCTGTATGTCAGATATTTAATTTGACATCTGTTTACCAGCTCTCTAGCTCTAAACGGATGGAACGAATGGAGAGCTTGCTGACAACTGATTGACAGGGGAGCTGTTCAGACTTTACATCTTCAGAGAACAGCATACAGACAACCAGATATTTCAGGCTGAACAAAACCAAGAATGGTTTCCCCAGCAATTAACTACATTTCTCCTCATTGCATCATAACTTTCTCATTAGGGGATCCGCGAGATATATTTTTTTGCTAACCTTTGTAACATCTCAAGTAAGTACTGAGCAAAGTAACTGCATAATAAGCTTCTCTGTCAGAGGTTTTCACACGTGTGTTCACATGGAAGACCGAAACGTCCAAAAACACAAGAATAACCCACAAAATCTGTTTCATAATGGAAGGCAGTAAAAATCAAGTAGGGGGAAAAAAAAATACATGTTAACACTTCTGAAACGTATTAGATAAAACATTATTTATATTAAAATTTCTCTAAAAATGCTTTAACTGTGCCCAAAACATGTATCAAGCATTTCTTTATATAGATGACAAGTAGACATTGAATGACGTTTGTAACAGTGACTGGGAGAAATGGGAGGACAGTGATGAGAATATGTTAGAGAGACTGGGACCAAAGTGGCGGTTCCAGCCGTCCAATGAGGAGTGCACGACTGTCCTTCATCAGCAAGGTCCATCAAGATCACAACGTGTCCCACCACTGGCCCAGTGTTTTTTTTTTTTTTTAGTTGTTGTTTACAGTTTCACACTAGGTGCTCTGTCCCATCATGTCAGAGTTTCTTATGGATGTGTATTTTTCTTTTCATTCCCTCAGCTATTTTTGTTATTGAATCATGCAGATTATAATCATCTGATATTATACATATTTCATAAACAAGCGACCACTGGACATAAATTAGATCCTCTATAGATAAAAATGTAAAAAGCTAATAAGACAGCTGTTTATATACTGAAGGTGGCAAAGCCAAGGAGGTGGCAACAACGAGCAAAAGGCTTCATCTTGCCACGCGGCACCGACCTCCAGATCCCCAAATACCCACCAGCATTGTCCCCATCCTTTCACCAACTCTTCTCTGCTCTTATGTCTTCTTTCGTTTATAAGAGTAGCACAGAACAGATATTTGGGGCATTGTAGAAAGCAGAAAGTTGCGAGAGGTTTGGGTTGAAAACTGATTCAAAATGAGCCAAAGTATTTGAAATAATGTGCAAAGTTTTAGACGATAGTAAAAGAGAATTTAAATCGCAACAGCTGTGACCAGGTTCAACTTTCTATCTTGCAACACTCCACTTGATTGAACCAAGTGATAAATCATCCGTCAGAAGTCTTTTCTTGTTTCATGAGGAGATGGAGAGGGCCGGGGCAGGACGGGATGCAGTGGCGGCGGTCAGAGGCTGGGTCAGTTTGTTTTGTCTAAAGGGACAGGAGTGGAGGTCTACTGCTTTATGGAGCGCAAAAAAAGGGGTTGGGGAGTCCTCATGAATGGTGGTGTTCTGCAGGCTGGGACAGGAGACACACAGCTGAAGGATCCTCTCTCCTGCCCTCTGTCTCAGGAGCAACCATGACCAATCAGGACTGCAAAAGAGACAACAACACAACAGATGTGTCATCACACTTCAACAAACAATACATTTAAGAGGCAGTTGCTATGTTTCAATTCAGGGGGTGCATCCATCCATCGAAGGCTGTCCCATTTTGAAGGCTTCTTTAAATGCCTTCAACAAATGCATCCTCTTTTCCTGGCTAAGGAAGGATCCATCTGGTGCATTCTTCATGGAACAACGATTAATTGTGCAACAATTCAAACGAGCTGCCATATGCTTCCGCTTTTTTAGGGGGTGATGGCTGGATTGGCATGTCAGACTTGAACCCGCTTTGAGGACTAAAACCGAGGGGCAAAACTTAGGCCATTTCACCCACGAGTAACAAATCTAATTGTTTTTAAATCAATCTAATAACTACAAATATTAATGTTAACAAAGGGGCTTTTTAACTTTAAAATGATCTTTCAAAAATAAGTGGATGTACTGTACGGGACATTAGATCTGCTGTTTAGAATGGAAAAGGCCGGGCACTTCATGGGCTGTCTCCTTCAAAGGATGCTAAGCCTGAATTGGGACATAGCAAGAGAGCACAACATTTTTTAAAGTGGAGATATAATTGATGAAAACATAATCAGCGATCATTTGATGTATTTAATAGCCAATAGGATACCCTATACGCTCTCAGGTGTGCATGGTTGCAGGAACATACCATGAAAATTAATTCAAAAACTCCATGGCACACTGAAAATAACTTCCTAATAGCTTCCTCAGTGCTGGGGCAGGAATGCTGAATCGGATGACATTTTATTTTTTATTTGTACAAAGCTGTCCTTAATTCTTAAATGCCTTGAATGTATTAATGCTTAATTGTGGATCAACTCAATTAATTTCTTCTGTTTGCCTTATTTGATTTAAGGTTTTACATCCACTATGAAAATTGCCCCTGCAATAATTGTGTTTTCTTAAAGGTCACATGTTAAACTCTCAAATCCACTCCGATCTTGTATTTCAGCACGCCTATAAACCCCTCTATTCCAGCCCTGCTCAGAACAAACTGTTTCTGTGTTTTAAATGCAAGTGAGCTGGGCTTGGAAGGGCTTGGAAGGGCTTGGACTTTCATTGACCATGTCCTACTGTTTACAGTGGAAAGGCAGATTCAAAAGGCAGAAAAAAACACTAGCTGTGGGAGAGGTTACTTCCCTTTGTGATGTCATAAAGGTAAAATCTCCAAATGGAAAAGGCAAAAAACGGAGAGGATGGACATTTCTCATTATTGGGGGGCTTGTTTACACGGTAGGGACACATGTTAGTGTGAGGAAAAACATGGTAAAGTGTATTTTGCATATTATGTGACCTTTAAACTTAATATTTTTGATATCAATAATTCATGCAAAACACGTAGCTTTGTTTCTTTCAAAACTCCTATTTAAATGAAAGCTTTCATTATAATATTGAACTATTACTAGTACCTGTTTGCATGTGTTTGTTATTGTAAAAAAAAGACATTCTAACCAGAAAGCTCATGGCCCAGGTATCCCCTAACCTCACTGGGCCCAGAAAGATGAACCCAGTTGGCCCTGTCAGTAACTGATGCGAGAACACACAGTGTAGTCATAACATAGTCTCATACCTCTGCTTTCTGCTTTAACTCCTCAGTAGGAGATTCTGTTTCCCTGATAACCACAGCTTTTGTCACCAGCATGTCGGGGTGCTGCTGTTTGGCCTCTTGGATCGCCATGGCAAGGGCCTGGGAATATGAAGCATCGACATGTGGTTCACATATATATTAAGGTATGGGGGCTATACCGGACATAGTCAAAAGCATGTTAAAAGTTCTTCACACCTGATGTTGGTCCACATCATCGTCTCCTGTGATAATAATCCTCTTCTCGATTCTGGTTTCTGAGTAGCCTCCTTTCACAGTCTGCAGAACACATTCATAGACACAAGTTTCACGAGTCGTCATATCACTCCCACCAATTCAAAATTATAATCAACATTGGTCCCAAAAAAAAAGTGTTGATCAAGGGTGTCATTGTTTGCCTACGAGCTAGCTCAGGCAGTGTGAGGAGTGATTAGGTCGAAGCATAGACGGCAAACATAAATATTCTGCTGAAATGAATGTTTTTCTGACTGAAATGTATTTTCATCTCTCACGTGTGTTTAAAAATGTATCTCTGTGTTTTTTCTTCAGAAACCTCAACTAATTAATGCACCAGATAGTTTCCTCTGATCATACTTATTCTTTAAAACTTTGAATATATCGTATATAATGAAGTGAACGGATAAAAAACATTTTTTGGTCATATCACTAAAACATTAGTCTTTCCTGCCATGATTTAAAATGCCAAAATTGAATTTGTAATGTAATGCAAAATTTGATGAGAGGGGATGGAATAGATTCAAACTGTACCATAAGATACAGATGTTAGTGGCCATGGAAGTAAAAAAAAAAAAAAAAAAAAAAAAAAAAGGCGTTACCTTGGTAACTTGAGTTGTGGTTGCCGTAGTGACACTTTCAGCTGTGATGGTCAGCGGGGACACAACCGACTCCCTCTCCTGGGTACCTGGTTTTACCTGCAGCACATTATCAGAGGAGAGTCACATAAACTTATCACCAACTGAGAACCCCCCCACACACACACACACACACACACACACACACACACACACACACACACACACCCTACAGAAAAGACTACTGGCCAAAGAAAGCCAACATCAAAATCTCTCATGTAGGCATCAGGTATTTTTGAGAGGAACTCACCTGTAAAAACAAACAGGCAGATTTACATCAATCCTTCTCTACTTTCACCGTGTCATTTAGAGAACTCTGTTTGTCGCCACAGCTTGAGCTGACGGTATTTACATTTTAATAAAGGAGGATGAGACAAATAGAGCTGAAGGTCTAAGACAAATCCCCTCTCTTCACCGGAAAGCATAATCTATCACAACTGTACATAACGACAGCTTTCTAAGTCCTTTAAGTCACAGTGTGGAGAGTAAGCTGGCATTTACTCTGCAGAAGTGGAGAAAAATCAGGTTATTATAAAAGAAGAGAACATCATATTCTACACTAATGAAGGGTAAACTGATGCACAATACAAAGAAACATTTAGATGGAGTCTGTATGAAAACTGTAACTGTCACACAGAACTGCTCTGTACAGACTTTCTGACATAACAAACTGAACTCATACAGATGAAGTCAGCAGTGGTATAGGCTTGCTGCTGAGAGTTTCATACACACTCCCACTACCAGCTAAATGGTTTGGGATGGCCCCCAAGTGGTGAGCCCTTCACACAAGAAGGCAAATGTAGTGTGGAGGGAGAGGGTGTACTGTAGGAGTCAGATGAAGGCCCCTTACATTGAGTCATTCTAGACTTCAGTTATGTGGGTTGGTAAAAGAGAGGACCTGTTTGAATACTGAATACTGAATACTGAATACTTGAATCCTTTTTGTTTCACCGTCCCATGTATGACAACATAAGGGATGCATGTTTTAGAAAAAACTGACTTCCATTAACGTTGATTTCTTCTGTTTTGATGATTATGAAAAACTAGAGTTGTGCTTTAGAGGCGGAACATTTTTTTTATCTGATTTTTTCTGTAAAGCCTGAGAGAAGAGACTGAATACAATATTTTAGGCTCAGCTGTGAAAGGATCATGCTACTTAATAGTGATATGAATTGTTGAACCACTGAAACTGAATTTCTGGTGTTTTATAAACCCATGAGGCACTTTGTGTGCATGACACATCATTCAAATAGAATCAAAATCAACCAATCATAGGATTTAACTGAGTATGGAAAACGTTCTTGAAGTACAAAGCAGACAACTCTAAATCTGGAAAAGGTGTTAAAACATAGCTACAGGTAAAGTTGTAACCAAAGTATTTAACCATGTCAATGTCGGCAGACTTCTTTCGTGTGTTTACCTTCTTTAAGAATGAGAACTTGTCATTTCAAATCAACCTGAGAAGCACTACCTGCAGATCACTTGGAACCATCATCTTATGTTATCTCTTAATGGATCCAGAGTTTATTAATTAATTTAGGCTCATTTTAAGGACACACTTAAGGCTTATATGAGAGGTCACAGCATGTCAAATTAAAATAAGAGAATACCATTATTAAATGATGACTGATAAGCATATTGAAACAGGACCCACTCCATCACAAAAACATAATTAATCTCTTGATACATGTATTTAAAAAAAATTCCTATACAATAACTTGTGCACCGATAACGCCTAAGCAACTATGATTAGGACAAGATATCACTCTAATGAAATTTTTGTTTTATTGTACATTTTCCGCACCCCCTGTGGTACTTCTTGCGTCTCTGCTGATTTTGTTCTGTACATGTTTAAGGTGTGGTTCCAATAAAAAAAAACTCAACCTGTTTCATATTAACAGTCATACATATCGTGAAAAACATTTTCTTAAAGTCTTTTTCAGAAGTATGCAGTAAGTTCTGCCATCTACCCTACTGCAGCAGTTTGAAGCATTAATAATTGTGATATAGAACTAAAATATGACAAAATGTTTGTCATATGATCTGTTTTGCTTTTAAAGGTCATAAAGAGACATCAGTGTTAATTTCAGTCTGTTTCACGACCAGTTAAAAACTCCTAACAGGAGCTTTAAGAAGGAAACAGTTCCTTAAATCATTCAGAGTGAAGTCTAATAAAGGAGAGGGTTTAAAGGTCGACTGAAAACTGAAGCTATTTCTCTGTTATTTAAAACAGCGTGATCAATGTAAGAAACAGATCATTACACTGAAGATTTTGAAGCAAAGCTGTTTCTGGATAGATGACCTCGAACAAAAAACTGATAGGAAAAACAAAGACCTTGAATCTGAGATAACTGTGGGGTAAATCATAATATAATAGAGTGGTCGGAGGAGATGCTTTTCCAAACTAACACTTAGAAAACAGTCTCCAAAGGACAAACCAACATTATTATCATTTCCTCATAACATTAATGAAATCTCTATTAATGAATCGATTTATATGACAGAGAAATACTGGTATGAAAAAAAAAAGCATCTGCATATGGATATTGTTTGCAATATCAGAGAAATCAGAGCTATTCTAAGAACTGCAGCGTGTAGAGACCTGTTTGTCTAAATTGTCAAATGCACATTCTCAGAGTCAAACAACTGAGTTATGATTATGACATCAAATGTAAGTGCTGTAGCTCATTGTGAGATGACTCACAATCCAGATATGACTTTCAAACATTCATCAGTGTCACTCTTGTTCAGAAAAATACAGAGTAAAGGTCAGGCCTGCAAAATGAGATAGCAACAGCACAATGGTTTAAGACTGTTACTCTGCCGCCATACGACACACACACACACACACACACACACACACACACACACACACACACACACACACACAGGCTGTCCTACTGATGTATCATGTCTGCATAGATACTCACAGGGGAGCCATTTTCTTTAGGGGCAGCAGCAGCAGCCTTCCGCGGGCTGAAGTTCTGAGGACAGAGACATGCAGGATGAATTACAAACAGTGAAATCTGTAGCAAGAGACTTTATTAACTTCCTACTACAACATATGACCAGCTACAAAGAAATTCAACAAGTGATCATACAAAGGATCACTACGTCATTTAGAGTAGTGATAATGTTATAAGTCGGTCATCCAATCAGCTTAGAGGACATTTTCTTGTGGTCTTGCTTTCGTCACTGCCAAAATCTCAAAATCTCAAAATCTTTGTATTTCTACTGAATAAAGATGTGATGTTTTTATTAGAGCCCGACCAATTAATTCGCCACCCGATAATATTGGACGATATTAGCACATCCAGTGACTATTGGCAGTGTTTCCCCTACCATTATATTAGGGGGGCGGCCCGCATGATCACCAAGATCATGCGGGCCGCAGGGGGTATGACATGGGGTATAACATGGGATATGACATGCATGTGTGCAAGGCAGGTGGTAAACCTAGGGGAAACACCGATTGGTATTGGCTGCTTTTATTGCAGAAATATTACTAGATGTATTGATCAATCAAAAAAACATAACATTTGAGTATTGTTGTATTACACTAGCTGCTCTCTTTCACCAGCAGAGGGCACTATATGGATTAAAACAAGCATGATCACACTCCAGAGTGTCAAGCAGTGATGCTCGCACATGTGCAGTTTCGTTCCATTTGAGTACCCACACTTCATTGAATATCTATTTCACAAGTGTTTGATAACTGCATTTGAGGGATCAACACATTAAATGTGTACACCTATATCTTAAATTCCTTTTAAAAAAGGATCTGTGCATGCTTGTTTTAGTGTGATACAATACACTACGATCAATACATTTTATTATCTCCTTGGGGAAGTTTGTCTTGGGCTACAAGTCCTGAAGACATTCAGCTGCTTCTACAGAAGAATCAACTACCACATTGCTTGTTTTTTAGCTCAATATTAGAGCTCACTTGAGGCTTTTTTTAATGTCATTAGTAACACCTGTCCTGAAAACCTACAAAGCCAGCTGTGGAAAGCATCTTTCCAGCAACAAACAGGTTCAAACAACGGATTCACTGGTGAGGTTTTGTAAGATTGCATCTAATTCTTCAGTATCTTTGTGTGCTGACAGTGTTATCTGCAACATTATTAAACAATGACAGTGCTAAATAATGTTTAACAGGGGAAAAGAGTGTTCTATTGCTTCAGAGGACTGTTTTACAGGAGAGACAATGTTTCAATTCCACCCTCAAAAAGCTTCATGGCCTCAGCTCAAATCAATTCATGGACCTATGCAAGTAAAATATGATATGAGCTCTTAAGCTTTATGTAAGAGGAGTCCATGCAAATGTTTGCCTTCATTAGTTTTTTTAAGTATTTGTATGACTGACAATCAAAACACAGCGTGTGTTTGCTTGATGAATTGTCTATGAAGGTAATCCTAAAGCTGAACAAATTCTTTTTACTCCAATCTGGCACGCCTGCCCTAATTTAAGGCCAGACTGCTGGCGGCAGTTCAGGATTTGTGCTATTGTTTGGAAACTTGACAGAGCGTTACATGGCTCCCTCTGCTGGCAGAACAATGATGCTGCTGAGATCTTTGTCAGCCTAACCATGACGTCATCGTCCATTTGCTGCAGATGTACACACACACTCTCACACACACACACACACACACACACACACACACACACACACACACACACACACACACACACACACACACACACACACACACACACACACACACACACACACACATGCATGTCATACTCTGAGATCTTTGACTCAACAATAATGTGGCACTTCAAAGCCTCCTCATGATTGCCTGAGTTCATTCACACCATTAGCTGAATGGCTAAAAAGCTCGGCAATAATTATATTTTAATAAGGCACCTGTGGGAGAGCCTGCCAGCTCTAAAATCTTTGCCACGGAGATGAATGGGATTCGCACCTGCTTTCATCATCCTCACTAATTCACTGTCAATGCTCTAATCACTCCATAATGATGCTATTATGTCATCCTCGTCCAGGGAATATGGCTTTCACATCACTAAAGCACAAAGAAAGGGCTTCCTCCTAATCAAGTCCAACTTCAGAGTCCTGCCAAAGTATTTAATTATTCAATGCCAGTCCATTAGTGAGCTGACTTCTGGGTTTGGTCCTATGATGAGTGTTGTTCTCAACCTACTGTATGTGACAGTATAGTGAGGTTGTTTCACATTGTCTGTAGCATGGTGTCGTACAGTTTCTTTACCTGTGGTGAGACATTCATGATGTTGGGGTGCACCTCTGATCCATTCGTATGGTTCTCTGGCTTGGTGTCAGACCTCTTCAGCATATGAGCCATATTAACAGCACTGGGGTCTTTCTTTGCCACAGGAGGCTGTGTGAAACACAAAGTGTACAGTTTAGTCAATTAGTTCACAGCAAGACCTCGGCAGAACTTCATAAAACAATGCATTCCTTACAAGCATTACAAGAATAGTTTAAACACAGAGAAACTTCAAAAACAAACAAAAAGATTTGTTCTTTTACTGGGTCGTTCGGCTTGATGACATTATGCAAATGAAGATGCAGCAGCAGCAGCAGCAGGGAGACACTCAGCAACTCAAATAAAATGGGTTAAAAATTAATACATTTACAGACCAGATACATTAAAACATAAATAAAAGGGAATTAAACCTGCTTTAAATGAAAATATTAAACATTAACACATAATATAACAATAGTCAAATAAAACGAGATGGTTCCACGAAAAAATGAATAAAAAAATAAAACTGCAGGTTGTTATGGCAACACAGTCCAGCCAGGGAGTGTGAATCCAATGGGGGGTGATGAGGATGAAGGATGAACACATTCTACCTCATGATGTGTTCCCATCTCAGGAAGCTTCTCCTCCATTGGAGACTTGTCCCGGGAGCCCATTAGGCGGGCTGAGTAGAACCTTGAGGTCTCCTCAAAGTCCTCCCGGCCCACTTCAGGCTGTCGCTCCCTCTCTCCCAGCTCTGACATGCCTTTGGAAAATTCATCCGAGCCAGAGTGGAGGTCCATGATGACGGTGAAGTCGACCTCAGCCTCCAGGCTGGATGTGGAGCTGACTGTCATGCTGGAGCACTTGCGCTCAATGCCCAGGTGGGTTTCTCTCATGCAGGCCACCGTGTCCCGCTCCTGCTCTTCCTCTGAGGTCATGATCGGCTGGGGCCTCCTGTCCCCAAGCTCCTTCTGGACCATGAACACACACGAGATCACCACTCTGGGTTACCTCACCGCATACGGATGTATGATGAACATGACAAAGAATGGACTGGAAGAATAATCCTAATATTTGAAGGTGGTTTGTTTTCTGGGGTTCTAAAGAAAGGATCCACAATCAAGCAATACAACGTATCCTGAATATACCTTAGAAACCACACAATAATAATCAGTAGTGCAAAGGACTCCAAATTAGTAATAGATATTGAAAGTAGATGTGGGGACAAGGAATGGTTGGAAACCTATATAGAAAAGGAATTAGTTATATGCACATCACGTAGGTTCAGGGCAGTGCAAAAACAACAGGTTGAGGAAGAAGATACGGCCAAAGAGTTGCTCAAATGCCGCAAAAAGTTTTTATTCTATCACAATCACAATGTTTCAACCAGAGATTGTCTTCAGTTGATAATTTCAAAAATTATCATCATATCAGTCTAAGGGGAATATCTTCTTCCTCAGTCTGCTGGGAACAAAGATAGGACAGGACCTTTTACTAGTACTGTACATATATATACTGAAATATATTTTGTTTTGACTTTTTGTTCCAACTTTCTGGCTTTTTTACGATTACTATAGACAGCGACAACAAGTAGCAACTAGGTATATATATAAAAATCTGTTTTCTTATCAATGGAGAATTGATAAGGAAGCTAAAATAACATATACTGTACATTGTGTGGATACTGTAATGTCTCTGGACATGCCTAAAATGGGTAAAATTAGAGCACATAAAAAACATGTATGTAGGTTCCTACAAATGATTTGTTATAAGAAATCATAATGGCATTTCAATCCACTGCATAGCTCCCAGATTAGCCCCAAAAGTGTAAACCCTTTATCATTAACTTCATGGCTTCTGTAGGAAAAACTTTCAGGTTTCCAAAAGCAACCATTCACAAAACAGTTTGGCTGAACTGCTGTGCAACACACGACAAAGGATCAGGAGCACAATTACTCCGTTTCAAGGCCAAAAGGGTTGGGTACGATCTAATTATAAAGTAGTCCCTGAGGCAGCCAGCTTTAAGTCATGTCCCTTATATTAATTACATTTAGAATAGCTAATTGGATCAAAGTAAAAACTGGATTATACCAGTGATGGACAAGCGCTGGGAGTTCTGTTAACATCACACAGATTGAATTCAAAATCTGATGATTGGCAAAGAAGACAGCAGCTGAGCAGCCAGTTAAAAATTAACGCTCCCTTCTTTACAGCTTTAGGCTATTTGTCAGAAGAAACTGGTGCAGTGAATCAAGAGGCATGCAGTTTACGGCAGAGAGGGGCGCAGAGAGGGAAAGAGATGGTGGAAGTCAAGGATGGAAAGTATAAAGGTGGGTTTAAATACAAATGAGTAACCTTGAAGTCAGCAAACGGCTCTTCATAAATGGCAGGAGTAGAGACAGGCTCCTGCAGGGGGAAGCAGAGGAAAGAGAAGAGAGAGCATCTAAGGGTTAGCATAAGCAGAACTGGCCAGTGGAAAAACAGGCCACCACACACACAGATGTCCTAGCAGCAGAGCTTGATGGAGGCCTGACAGTACGAGTCCAGTGATTTCTGAGCACCAGATTGTAACCTTAACTGCTCTCCTACGCTGCTCAGAGAGACTCAAAATCTAAATGTAGCCAAACATTTTCAAATAGCTAGTTATAAAGTCATTTTGGTTTCTATTACATGATTCAAACCAACAAAAAAAAAATGTAGGTGATCTCATGGACCTGATCTAGGCCCACTGGCTCTTTTCAGATCAAGCTAGGTTAAAATGGACTCAGGCTTACATTTCAAGCGCTACTCTGCAAATACACAGCATTAAGCAATACAGTTCAGAGCACAGGAAAGAGCTGAGCCTACTGCAAAAGAACCTAATTTAGAAATCTACAGACTGTTTGATTTGTTTGCATAAGCAGAGGCAGGACAAAAGAATCATGCTGTTTGTATCATGAGCAGGTTTTTTTGTTAGCATAGCATCAATCACTCGTTGACCAACTGAGAAAGTGTTGCAACACTATGCACCTTGAATTTCAACAAGGGACTTTTCATATAGTGTCAAATCAAAATGTAAAAATGCCCAATAAAAAGTGCCAAAAGCATTTCAAAGCCTCTTAAATAGACAGTGCGAAAGCGTCCACATGTTTTGAGGAGCTCCTAATATTTTCCCACACTCCCCGAGTTCAATCTGATCTTGATATGATTGTCACTCGCCAGTGAGAGGTACGCAACACCTCCTCTCATGCCCGTTTAATCCAATATATGCAAGAGCTTGACTCAGATGAAAAGGTGGGAAATGATGAAAGCTGTCATGTCTATTCACTTCAAATGTCTTTCATTCCAGTGCCAAACGCGTGCAAGCTCCTTATGATACCACCAGTGAAATGAAAGCAGCAAATCTGACTGTGTCAGGCACTGAGCTGTGGTGTCTGGCTGCTCACTGTTTGCCGGGGTTTCACAGTTGGAGAAACCCCTGTGTCTGTAAAAAAAACACGCTTAGCTTTCTAAACAGGGAAGAGGAGAATAAATCATCTGATTTATGAAACATTATCACCTGTCTGAGGAATCAAGACTAGTTTGTGGATTCTGTTGCTGAGAGATCATCAGCTGAATGTAGTTTCTTAATGAGTAGTGTGTTTACCAGTTCTCTACATAATTGTCTCTTTGCCAAATTACCTTTACCCTTTTCTAGCAATATAAAGATTTAATTTGTAACATTAGTATGCAATCAATCATTTTTGTATTTAAATTTTACACCGGGAACAGAGATGTGGAGAAATCATCAGAGATTTGATAATGTGTAAGCCTTTCTTTCCTTGCCGTCCTCTGACAGGAGAACAACGTGGGCTGGAAAGAAATCGGAGGCTCACAAGGTCAGAGAAGGCGAAGACAAACCAACAATCAAAACATGATGTATTGATTTTTGTCTTTTTTTTTTTTGAACTCTCACAGCCAGTGGTGAGCTGTACAGATTTGCCAGACAGTGTGGTGTATGTTGAGGGCAATGGAAGGGGGTAAAGTGGGTTACCATATGGGAAAATGTCCAAACTTTTTGATTGGATTTTGCCACAAGACGGAGCAAAAGCACCACTCCGCCTGCTCTCCATACAGGCACGAACAGGTAAGATGGATGAGGGTTTCAAGTCACTGAAAACGTAGAAAGAAAATAAACAAAATGGCGTGCAAGTCTGTCTGAAGCTCATGCGATGCTTTGATTCCAATGACTGAATAGCAGATGCCAAGCAGAGTTACCGAGTGTCTCTTCTTGACTGCGTCCAGGCTCGGCTCCCTGCCTGCATTCCGGCTGTTCCGCAGTATAAGTCCAGACTCCCTGGCCTTCTGTGTTTTCACTGGCGGGGCCGGGGGAGCCGTTTTGGAAAGCGATGAAATCTTTGAGCCGAATGACTGACTCTCTGTCGGTCCTCTACCGAACTGATAGCTGTCATCAGCATGTTCTGCTTTAGCCGAACCCTCCAGATCTGCTGCGAACGCTGGATGGAAGGTGGAGACATCGGTCCAGTTAAGATCCGCGGGCCCCTCTGGAGAGCCCACCGACCAGCGGTATTCTCTTCTGAGGCCCCGTGTAGGCTCGTCCTGTCCTGGTCTGTCCCGCTCATCCTTACACGCCACACTCTTTGACCGCTCTGGCTTCAGAGGAACAATCCGGGTGATTTCTGACTGGAAGCTGCCTGACACCCTGTGGAGAGAAGTCCTCTGACCTCTGTCTCCAAGGAAACTCTCGATATCATCTGCCCCTGAACTGCTGATCTTTCTCTCATGGGTCCTGACCTGTCGCAGTTTCACCTCAGCTAGCTCTTTGTTGTCAATTAAGCCCTTCCCTCTAACCTTCACAACACTTTCCCCTTTAGCACTCGTCAATGAACTATCATGTTCTATCTTTCCAGGTCCGTTCACTGACCCCAAATTGATATCTGCCATACCAATGGGACTCACTTTTCTCTTGACCGTCTCTGCTTCTAGAGCGTAGACCTCCCTGCTTTCTTCTTGTGATACGTCCTCTTGTTTGTTGTCTTCATTGACTCTGACAGGCTGATCCTTTCCTGATCCCTGATCACCTTTCATCATCACCACAAGCGATGGCTCACAATGATTTCCTGTTCTTGAGGCTTCTGGGGTGTTGTCTGAGTCTGAGTCCTCATTTTCTTCTCCAGTAGAATCACTGCCTTCTTTCCTGTAGATGAGTTCGGCAGGCATTCCCAGGTTTAAGCTCTGGGGTCTCCTCTTTTTTCTCGGTTTAGAAGCTTTGGGTTCCTTTATCTGGCATGAGCCTGGGGCCACATCACTACTTGCCTCAGGGTTTGAGGCTTTGGACGGTGTACTTTGAGATTTGTCTTGAGTTGTCTCTCCTTCATTCTCAGATAATTGAATCATAAAACGCGATTTGTTTGTTTGCTGAGGCTCAGAACAAACATCTGCCTCTTTGGGTGATTTTGTTGATGGAAATTCATCAATATGGCTTTTCATTTCTTTTCTGTCATAGCCTGTTACCTCTTCATTTATCATCTTGGTAATGTCTATCTCTTTTTTCAGCTCCATTTTCTCCCACGAGGAATCAAATGTGAGAGATTTGTTCTGTTCTTCTGCCTTCTGGTCATGGTCCTGTGGATAACTTTCTTGATTTTCAATCAATACCCACTCTTCTGAGCCCTACATGTTGGTATAGATTAAACACAGTTAGACATGCCAAGCACAGCTGTTTGCAAACCATAACGTCTACACAATGATCAGAATCACAGAAAAGGCAACAAAAGGCTTAAATGGAACATGGGAAAGTTTTGGAAAACAAGATTTGGCATTAAGAGATGATTGTACAATATCTATTTTCTTAGATAAACATACACAGTTGTGATCATACCACAAAGAAGTCATTGCATTTGACCAAACCAAAAATATTACGAAAAAAATAATATATCAAAAGGAGAAAGAGTGAGAGATATGCGACCTCAGGTGAAGTCACCAGAGTTTTCTGGATGAAGCCCTCGACAGACAGGTTGTTAACAGTGTCCTTTCCGACCGCTCGGACGGGCAACTGGCCGACACGAAGCAGAGGAGAGAGTTTAAAAGAGAAGGAAGAACAGCAGTTAGAGCTGGAGTCGATTAGTAAGATGCACTGAAAACCATTCCATGCAAAATGGAGAAAACTGGAAAGGCAGAAAGAACAAGTGTAAAAAGAAAATAATGGAAAAAATGTACATTTTGATTGAATTTTAAACTAAGGGTCATAGGCATCCTCATGTACCTGACAGCCTACCAGTCCATATGACCAAATCAAAAGACATTTGCAATCCAAATATGTTTGCAAATGACTACACCAAAGTGTTGAGGGCAGACTTCCCCTGTCTCTGACTCTCAGTCAAACCTATTAATAATCCTCCATTCCTCCCCCCATCCCTCTACTGTACCTTGTACAAGACGCATAGCAGCAGGTTACATTTGCTGCAGCAGACGTTTGACATTCCATGTACATAATCTGTTCCCAAAGACGGAGAGGACAGTTAAGACACAAGCAACAACGACTCTGAGGACTACAACCCAGTGAGAATTCAAATCCTCAAATCAAAATGTGATCAAAGCATCAGCGATTTCATGATCTGACGGAAAGAAAACTATTCCAATTTTAGCCAATCAAGTATAAAAAAGTGATTATTATTTCCAAAGTGCTTCACATTGAGAGAATCTCAGAAGTCATCTTGAAAGTAATCTCGTCAAGTTGCCTCATTCTGTGCTACTTGTCAGTCATCATCAAGTACCGCTGAGATACACTCCAAGTTATTCTGGTAAACCAGAAAGAGGCAGAATGTAATCCATTATGCATCTCTTAAAATAAGAGAAGATTGTTATGTGAGTTTCTGTGAGCAGTAGTGTCTGTACAGAGAAGACACATGAGCTGCCTGTAGGTAGGAAAGAAAGCAAGTAACCATGACATCCTGCTCTTATTATGCTCTATTCTTATCTTTTGATTGTACACCTCCACCAGTACACTACATCTTCAGGTAGAGTTATTTAAAGGCAAGAATACAAATTAAATACAACAATCAGCCACACAAGGTTCTCTGTATAACAAATATATCTGGCTGACTTCAAGTCCATGAGCAAAGGCAGGAATTCTACATGATGGCAGAAAGCAAAATATCAATGTAATTCAATTGATTATCAAGCATGAGAAGTAGCTGGGTTTGGAAGACAATAGCTAACTTTAGTAAACCCTCCCGACCTCAGCCCACACTCACAGCCTTCTTCTCTGGGGTGCCGGTTGGGGAGCTGGATGACAGACGCTTCTCGCGGTTTACCGTCAGCTTGCTGTTGGGCTCCCTCAGCGCTCTCTTCAGCTCGTTGATGCTGGCCTGGTGCTTCAGCAAGACGTCCTTAGACTTGTCCAGAAACTAGAGAATGAAAACAAACGACGGTGAGAAATTGCACCTTCCAGATGTGGAAGTCCTTTTAAGAAGCATTCATCACATCGTCACGACCAATATGAATGAATGGAATGTGAGACTCTGTGTTCACACAGGAGAAATGGAGAGTGAATTTCTCACACATTTAGAGAGTATGTTGTTTGTTCACCGATATGAGATGTAATACATGATGATTTTGAAGCTCACAGAAAACAAACAACTGTCCAAGACATAAGCATTTACTGCAACACGGACGCAAAAAGAAATGAATATGTTAAACTCTTAACATTGTTGGAAAGTCATAAATCTAGATTTGTATTTTTCGTTTGTGAGTAACAATCAGTGGTGAAAAGAAACCTCATACATTTATTTAAGGGCTGTGATTTTCTGCCTCCCTGGACTGCTCATTCATCACATTTAGAGGGAAATTCAAATTCTTCTACTCTGAGCGCTTGACAACTACAGTTACCGCGTTTGATGCATACAAAATGCAATTGTCAAGTGTATCTAACAAAAAGAGCTCTGTGATCATATGTATATGGGCAAAACTGTTTTTTTCTCCTAAAAAAAATCATTCCTCATGTTTAACCAGGCCATTACTTTATCATTTCGTGATGTGTGCGATGAAGTGATGTGTAACAAACTCAACAGTGCTCACTCAGTATAAACATTTTTTATCCCAGATGTATCTTAGAATTAGAAAGTTAAAGTTTAGGAAGTTATGAAGTCAAGTGTCCCTATGCAAACACAAAAGTCTTTCTGATTTTAAACTCTCGTAGTGTGACCATCTCTCTTCTTAAACTCAACATGGAAACACTGCCAGGGGCAGGAAGGGGGATTTTACAGTTAAGATACCCATTTAATTTAGCTTTCTCAGAATGCTGAAGCCTCATATTAATATAAAGCTAACTATCGTTGGCTCAGTCATCCATCACTACTGATAAAATAATTAAAGGAGGGGATCTCTGAACACTTAAAATGAAAAAAGGAATGACTATAATAAGAAAACCCTGTTTTAATTTTCATCTGAGCTACTGACTATTGATTTGAGGCAGGCATAAACAACTGTTTGCCTATTCTTTAGGATAAAAAAAGATTTATATATAAAAAGGGGGGGGGGACAAAGCCGTCAAGTTTGGGCTCAAATCAACGCACTCACAATATATGTTTTTTTGTACTTTTCTTCAAACTATTTACATAATCTTTTAGGCTTATTAACTAAACCACCATTCCTTAAATGCAAAAACACCAATTTTCTGTAGCAGTTTATGGGAACTGATCAGTTGCATTTAAAATGGTGCTTAAATGTGACATGAATGCTAATTAACACTTTATGTAAGCATTCACCCTTTCCAACATTCACACACTTATCAAACTCCATGCGAGGCCACTAATGAACATAACATTCATATGTTACACATTAGTACATTAAATTAGCTATTTGATATTTGGGGTTCAGAATCTTGCCTGACGTGCATGTAGACAGGAGGAGCCAAGAGTGGAACAGCCAATTCAATTCAATTGAAGGGCAGCTACCTCCCTCTACGTGACAGACACCTGCTTCTAGATTTTGGATATTGGTACTATATTTAAGTAAAGGACCAGAGAAGCACTCAGTTGGGAAGAGCAACAAAGTAATGAGAAGTATTTACTGATGCAATGTAAGCCATCAAAAAGGGGAATGTCTCATTCCTATATGATACACTGGAGTCTTTTTGATCTACAAACTTAACTATTCTTTGCTCACGCTCACAGATGTCAGACTTTTCAAATTAAAATGTAATTTCAGGTAAGAATGTAGATGCAGGCAACTCTTAATCCATAAAACTCGCTGGAAAACTAAAGATGCAGATGAACTGCGCCATACACAACAGAAAGCACAAGCCACCAAATATGGAACCTGTACCTCCTGTTTGTGCCGAGGAGAGGCCCCCCGATCCAACTGAGAGAGCTGAGTTTGGGCAGGAGGATGGGCGAGCACAAGAGGGGTCAGAGGTGAAGAGTGCAGGATCAGAGAGTGCAGGTAACGAGGTAAGATGCAGAGACAGGGTGGCAGTAGGTAAGACAGGACGAGGACAGGCAAGCAGACAGACAGACAGACAGACAGGTAGGTTGGAGGTCTAGAATTAACTGCCTGTTTCCACGCCTAGACAAGTTTGAAAAAACATAACATTTGGCAGGTTTCCAGAGTTTGGTTCCCAAAGCTTTCCTAAAATATTATATTGTAGACGTGTGTGCTTTATTTGAGACTATCCAGTCAACACTCAAAAATGACAAAAAAATGTCCACACACAGAATTTGTAGCATCACCTGGATACAGGGTGCAATGCAGTGCAATCTGAAAACAGTGTTAATTGCCACATTTTGACAGTGAAAGACAGGCAGAGACAATGAGATAACATTAGACAATGGGAAGAAGAACTAATGACTGATGGATAAAGACAGGTAAACAGACGTCAAATCACCAGACATCAAATACCTCCTGTTTACTCTCAACTGGCGAGCCAGCCTCCTCCTTATCGCCAGCAAGTGTTTAAGAAGAGGAAAAAGCATGTTAGCAACAGAGGGCTATGCTCAGCACAATAACAAAGGGTTAAAACAGTGAAGCGGGATTTGTGAGCTGTGCAGTGTAAGCATACAGTGTAAGCCAGCGTGAATAGCAGTGAAGGAGTAAGAGTTAGTAAATGCTGCGTTCACTACAGTCACCAAAGCTTTATTTCCATGCTAAATGAGTCACTACTGGCCCTGAAAAGCTTGACCTGAAGGCCACACCATCACCCTGACCCAAGGCTGAAGTTGTCTTCTTTAAGTGGACTACATCTCAATGTATTTGATCTACCTTCATATCCAATGAATGAAAATCTGATAAATAAAACCTCACTCTCTGTCGGCGACTCTTGATTACACTTTATGCATAAAGACAACTTCAAATGAATGTAAGTAAATAGGTAATAATTGTCTCTGTAAGCTGCTTATTATGTGTTATAGATTATATAAGGGGTTACATTTGGCATCATGAACATTGAATCAAGTGCCAGTTAACCTATGTGTTTATTAACTGTTAAAGTTCCTCATAAATGTTTGTACATGTTTATCCAATAATAAACCGGTTTATAATTGGCCTTACTGCCTAATAACTTGTGTCGTCTACAGGTTTCTTAATACTAAGTGTGTCTGAAATCATATCTACCATGATCTCTTTCTTTCTGCTCGGAGTGACATCGCCGTCATAGTCCTCGTCCATCTCTTCATCCTGGTCCTTGTCCTCCTCATCTTGCTCCAGACTGGGCTCCAGCTCGGTCTCCTGCTCGTCCACAGACGGGCTATGGAGGAGGCGCTGTCTACTGATGCTGCGGTGTGATAGGTCGTCGTGGTTCTCGCACATGGCGGATACCGGCCGCGAGAACTCTGCTGATAACAAGAGTAGAACTATTTTAAGAGACAATCCAAAGTTAGAAGGGGAATGAGCTTGTATAGCGCTTTTCTAGTCTTCTGACTAATCAAACGTTTTTTTTTTAACACCCCAATATCACACCTACCCATTCACACTCTGATGGCAGAGGCTGCCATGTAAAATGTCCATCAGTATATTAACTAATCCATTCATACAAATTCATATGCCGCCGCCCAAAGCAGCGGGAGCAACTTGGGGTTAAGGGTCTTACCCAAGGACACATCGGACATGTGTTGAAAGACAACCAACACTTAGCCCCCTAAGGTTCAACTCAAACATCTGTAGCTTAATTCTGTCTTGACAGAATACAAATTATTAGAAATGCTCGATTCATGCAAAGAATGATCATGATGCCAACATGAAATTCGATTGATGCAGTGACAGCCATCAGGACTCAGGTAAGGAAATTCTGCATGTGACCTGAGGCAATACATACACCACTGTAATGTCCCTTTGTCATGCTGTAATCCCTTTTGTGAATATCATTCATTTTAATATTCTGGTGACGTTTCCTTTTTCTTTTTGTCACTCATCTTTCCCTCGTGTATAAAGCCTAACTTTCTGATTTTTTGTAATTTCCCCTTCTGTGTGCCCTTGACCTTATTGTTTCTAACCTCAGCCTGTTTGGTCTCATCTGTGCTTGATAACTCTCTCCTTCCCAGTGAATTTACTTTATTCCTTCCCCTGTTCCTGGGCTAGATTTTCTTCAAACATTGTCTCTTATGTGGTATGTCTTTTTTTGCGGGTTGTCATTTTTTTGGATGTTTAATTCTTTCCTGCTCCCCACGGGCTCAATTAAAGTGAGTCCACACATATACTTGCTTTTAACTATGCCTAAGTGTGCGCATGGTGGCTGCCTCGCATCCCCTGCTTCTATTTGGCGTGTCGGCTGTGCATGTCCTTGAAAATGAAAATGACACGGTCGTAAAAGATGCAGTGTGCACATGAACTGTGGGGTTAGTGTGGAGGCAGAGGGGATGTGACAGTCAACACAGCAACAGGGGCAACAATGGCAGAAAGATTTGGAGACGAGCTAAACGAGATAAAATAAAGTCTGCAATTTTCCACATCTGTGTGACGTGTTCTTGAAACTGCACAGTGACAAACATACCCGTAAAACAAGCGTACTACAGATTAAGTCCATTTAAGTAATCATCATGAAACCTGCAAAACTAAAATGTAACAAAACCAGGACTGAGCTGGAGGCAGGAAAAATGCTTAAGAAAAAGGAAAAGAAACAGAGTTTGGACAATGCCAACATTATGATCTGTTGACCAGTCATCAGACGCCTGAGCTGTCAGTTCTTATTTCATTGTGGTTACGTCCTCAAGAGTCGCCATGTCTGACGTTTACATCCCGCACATCTTTGAGTTGCACACGGCCTGGGCTTTTTGGAGCACCCTCGAGAGGTATCCTCCAAAAACACGTGCACAGTCAAGTATGTGAGATAACGTTCATGACAAAGCTGGCTGTGTATGCTAATGCAATGTGTATATGAGAAAGTAACAGCACGTAAAGCATATACATAATGATGACAAAATATGAGGAATGACAAAGCAGTAAATGAATACAACAATGAAGGATGCAACGTTCATTGTAGTTATTTTGACTGACTTACCTATTCCTATCCTCGTGTGCAGGCATGCACACATCACCATGGTTACCTAATGTTTTTCATTTTTGGTCCCTTACAGAGATGACTTACTTTTTAAATGATGTAACTAGGTAGTATAACTTTGGTATTATGTAATACTACCTGAGGGTCGGTACTGTGGCCAAGCAGGTGATACGGAGTGAGAGAGTGTGTGGGTGGGTGTGAAACATGTGCTGAACTCCGCATAAAGACTGAAGACAGTGACAAACCACAACACATACACAATGAATGCGTTTGAGAGTGGAGCGCAGCGGCCACCACGTCCTATCTGAATGGCCCCTTAATAGTGGCTCAAAAACAAGAACCCACAAACAGATTTATTCTGGATCTATGGCAGCTCTCACCTCCATCCAAGCTCCTGGACAGCAGGTACCTCTTGCTGGTGGAACGCTCAAAGTGCGGAGCAGGCCGGTCTATGAGGGCGCTGGCCTGTCTGGTCTGAGCCTGTGTCCTTCCGCTGTATCGAAACTTAGAGCCCATCACCAGAAAGCCCTTAGGTGGAGGCTCTGGAGACACCAGCCTGCAATACAAACAGAAAGGACTCACTGAATTTCTCTTATTTAAGTAACAAAAAGAAACTAATAATCAAATGAATTGAAAGTAGTTTGAATTGTATTACACTGAAAGTGGACGTGTGTATTTCCTACTTTATCCTTCGCCATTTAAATCAGTGAAAACATGGAGAATAGAGAAATTATATCCTGAGTGGTTTAAAGCAGCTATGATTTTCTGAAATCTTTAGACCTTTAATGCTGAAGGTAAATCTTTATTGGACACAAAGTAAGGATCAACTAATGTCATTGCCTTTTGTATTTATTCCTAACATGTGTGAATGGTTTTCTGAGAACTCCTGCACACTTCTGAACAAGTATTCATCACAAGGTCACCAGGAAAGCTCAGGGGGCCATGAAAGCTTTATGAGCTGATAGTCTCTTATGCACACAGTAAAATGAGTTGCTCCTGATAAAGCTGCACAGCTGGTTATGTTTTGTTCGCCTCAATTGACTTGAGTACAGGAACCTTCCAACAGTGAGACCAGATCAGTTCTTACCGGAAGAATGTGTGATGCTCAATGCAGACCTTCCATAGCTTCTTGGCAGCTCTGTGGTTAGGAAGCTTAAAACCGATTGTACTTTCAAACTGCTCATACTGGAGGAGAAGAGAAAAGGAGAGAAACATGTGCAGAAAAAGTTCAGGAGAGAGACACTGTTTATGTGACGGCTGCCTCAGTACGTCTCATTTTACTCAATATTAATGTAACCTAACATGTATTATAAAAAATCAGAAAATATACTTCATCTCATACTTGAATGAACGCTGAACTAGAACAAACAAACAGTATTTCCTTTCTGCTGGCGTGAACACAGCTACAACAAAAACAATTACAAAGTGGATTCTGCTGACTAGACAAGAAGAAGCAGATCAAGGCAGGCGAAGGATTACTTCAAATATTAAGACACTGGGGGGGAAATAGGAGAAACTATTGCATGGCTCTATATTTAAACTCTTTACTGCTCTATTCGGGCTGAGGTTGCAGCTGCAGCAACTCTGTTAAAGAGGCTCTTTCTTTTGCTCAACCACAGACTCAGTGTGTGGCTCTGTCACTTGACTGGGTCTGGCCCAGACAGCCTGTCACACTGAGGCTCAGCACGGGGGATAAGCTGCAGCACTGCACAGCACAATGGGGAGGGCAGGAATAGAGACCCTGACTGTGCAGAGCTGCAAAACTGGAGGTATATCGCAAAGGATTTTTACAGTCTTGGGTTTTGCACAGCTGACCACACACTTGTGTCTGTTGTGGCTTTCAACAGTTACAGCTGTGTCAAAACATCAGCCATTGCAACTGAAAAGAATTAAAGGAGGATTTGATGAAAAGATTGATACTTTACACGTCACATCTGTATGCTCAAAATGTGCTGGAGCAGTAGTAAGGAGACACTTTATCCTGGTTTAGAATAGAAACGGGGGGATCAACTTTCCTGGCTTTGTCCAAAAATGAAAATCATTTCTTATTATTGCAAAAACTGATACGTCAAAAGTTTTCTCAGTATGGGTTTGAAACCAAAAAATGGGATCCTACAATGTTTCAATTGTCTTAGACAAATCCCTTCAATTTCTACACTCACTATTTTCAAACTCTGAACAGTTCTGTGTTAGTTTTGACTCATCCATACCAAAGCCCCCAAAAACCCTGATGACACCACCATGACGTCATTAGGATGTCTCACACTTGACAATGTCCTTATATCAAATCTTTTAAAAATGTTTAGAAGCGGTAACCATGACTAGCCCACATTAAATTAGTTATTCTTTTCCAAACTGCATACCTCTCCAGGTCGTATCTTGATGTAGAAGTTGCTCCTCTTATAGGAGATCTTGAGGATCTTTGGCCAGGCAAAGCGGTTAATCCTCAGCCTGTCACGGTAAATCAGCAGGCCGTTTGCACAGACACCCAACATGATTTCGATCCCTTCAGAATCCTACAGCAAACAAAAGGAACAGTAAAGGTGCGAGACATAAGTGGGGAGCATTACTATGTGCATCTGCAAAAACTATCTCACTAAATAAAATATCTTTGGATATAGCCAACCTTAGCGTGATGCAGGTCCACACCATACATGGACAATTTCTTTGCATTCTCCAAGAAGTTAATTTCAGCATCTGCCGGAGTCATACCCCTGTGAGCACAATAATGTTACAAACATCAACAGGACTTTTAAAATAATTAACCTTTCATCTTGCACAGTGGTAGCTTAATTAAATTGGTAATATTATTTGCCAAAAAAAAAGTTTTGCCACATGTAAGTAAGTGCTCTCACACTGGCAAGAGCTACACCGTGTACATTTCAATGACAGATGGTGATGGCATTTATCAGCCATATGCATGATGGAGTGTTTTGACACAACAGAAGACTGGGCAGCTGATCGTCCCTAGAGATTTGTCTACAGACGAAAAATGTAATTCAACATTGTGCTGTACTTGTAGTTTCGATGGAGCTCCATCACTCTCTCCTCCAGCTCACGAGTCTGATTGGGGGCAAAGCGGAAATCGCTGACGTAGTCAGAGCCATGGTCGTCCAGGTCGTAGTCTCCCAGCTCGGCTTGAACTGTGTAGGAGCCCAGGAGGGCATGAGTGACAAACGAGCACGGCAGTCGACCTGACAGCATGTCATCCCTCAGCTGCAGACACAGGTAGTATCTGTCAGTTGAGACAAAAGGGGAGGAGAGAAGAGTGTTGGCAGTCAAACGAGCCCGAGCCAAGGCAAGCTCCAACAAGTATTCAGCGTAGTTAATCCAGGGCAGTTAGTAGCATTCCAGGTGTAATCCTCGCAAAAGAGTGAGGGATTTGGGTTTCTTTGACACTGGGGCAAATATGCCATGTAAAATGTTACAACACTTTTATGTAAACACACCTATTTAGGAGAGAAAAAAGGCAAGACTGACATATGAAAGCAATTGCTCCTCTGATTAACACTTAAGAGCGTCTGACAGCACAGCCGGAGGAGATTTGTAACAGTGTCAAGTCAATTTATTCACGGAGAACATTTAAAAGAGTGTGTAAGTTTGAGATGTGTTCTACCTGGTAATATCCTCAGTGAGCTGGGAGGGGTCTGGAGGGTAGAACTTGACAGCAAAGGCAAAGTTCCACGGAGAGTCTGAGGAGAAAGTAAATCAAGAGCTAGACGGTTAACAGTCATTGAAGAATACGTTTGCAGAATGGCAATTACAGAGCAGCGATGGAATTGTTTAAACAGACTTACACAAAACTTTACATCAGTTCCATTTGCAAACAAATCTAGTTATATGATTACTTAATTTGAGAACATTTAAATCTTCATAATCACAGCTGTTTAGAAAACACACTTACTGCGCATCTGCTTTTTGATTTCCTTGGAGGGGTCCAACCAGTTCTGAAAGACAGAAGGCAGAATTCACACAGGGCAGCCTTGATACGTGGCTAACACACATCTCGTGTCACATTTCGCTTTAATTGCCATCATTGTTTTGTCAGTGTTGCAAACCTTCACCATATGGAAACGTAGCCCTCCGCTGCTGAGCCATTTCAATGTGCAGAGAGCAGAATTTGTTCAAGCATCTGTTTCTTTACTGTGTTGTTTCATCACTGCTTATCTGATCTAATCACATCCTGCTGTGCAGTGAACCACTTTGCCTGTAGGGGCACCATTTCTCATTTGGTAGATGGAGCATCTCATCATTGGTGCTGTGTACACTGACTTACTTGTAGCAAAAACACTTTATATCATGCTGTACAGACAGCAGTGCATGATGCTATGGTATCCAATGGACACTCTGCATCAAATGTGTCCCACTGCTAACTCCCTATCTCTACCACTTTGTATTGGTTGTATTGCAGTACAAGTGACAGGATTATAAGTAAAGAGGTCAAAACCCTCACAGAAACTTTGTTGGAGGACTCGTAAATTTCAGCCTGTTAACTTTATTTCAGTCTTTTTTCTAAATAGGACATTATCTATGCTGGTATTGAGGAGCTCTAAACCCAAAATATGCCTTTTTTTAAAAGTGGCACACTTTGAATATCATTTAAAAAGTTTTATAACTATAAAAGACAGTTATAAAAGCATCTATTTTACATACCACGATTTACAAAGTGTCATAAACTGTATTAAACCATACACACGCTGTCTTCATCAACGTTATTTACATATCCAACATCAACTGCAAAAACATAGATTGTAAATATCTAATGGACGAAGCCTGAGTGACGTCAGCCATCTTTTACGGCAGGGGGCTCAGGAGGCTCATCAGCAGCAGCCGCCAATGCTGGAAATGCTGTCTCATCCTAACTTCCTGTCAACTTAACGACAGGCTGAGCGCTGAGGAGGGTTTTAAGCCTCTTGACACCTAACTTTGAATAACACGTATGGTTCATATAATCAAAACAGAGTCTTGTGTGCCTGTGATGACAATAACTAATCAGACCTATTTCGTTTTTTTTGGTCCCAAGCTGTAAACATGGCAACTTCTGCTGTAAAAACTGCTTTTTGAAACTGCTTGTGCAAAAAGCAAATATTAAAAATGTATACTAAATGTTTTAATTATTTTCATTGAAACAAAATCAACTGACGAATGAATGAAGTTTACTGATGGGCTGTCCAGGGTCTACACAACCACACCTTTCCACATTTTCTGAAACGCTAACTCAGTTAATGCTCCCAAACCTTTAGACATTAGACATACAAAGAAGGAGGTTCTTAATAGGGCATTGCAATTAATCGCGACTTAATAGTTATCGCAGTATGAGCTTTCGCAATAAACACATTGTGGAAGTAAACATTTTTAATCCCAAAAGTCAGAAGGCTTCATCATTTTGGAACCAAGGTTTTCTTTTCATGTCATTTATCTAACAGTTGTAGATATATTTTGGCCTTGACCAAAATGGTGCACCAGAAAATGCTGCCAGCACGCCTGACATTGAAGTCCAACGGGTCAATAAAACTGGAAAATATAATGATTCCTTGATCATTAGGTCACGGATGCGGTCCGATCTGTGCCGAGTTTGTACAGTCCTTTTGAATATTTTAGTAATTTAGCTTCTAATAAATGCGTTTTGGAAGCTGGTATCACATCAGAGTAGAGCACATTAGTGCAGCAATAGTGGGAAAAAAACAGCAAGCATCTCTGGCAATGTGATTAACGTCCCCAGATACACTTCCAATACTGGCACAAATACACATACCTGACCACTTTTTAATCAGGATGATAAAGACTTTGATGAGACGCATGCATTTATCGTCCCACTGAACCCGTCTTATATCAGCCAAGGCCAAAGACCACTCAATAAGAAAAACATTCTGCTTCTTTGCGTTCCCCTGTGGAAAAGCAGGAAGAACTTTTAATCACTGACTGTTCAAGGCTTTACTCTAGCTTTTGCGACACAAGGAATAATGTTCTCCTGAAGGGCGGAGATTAAACCCTTGTTTGCAAACTGAGACAGAGAAAGGGCATCTGAAATGACATTTCAATTTTCAGACCTGTTTGGTCTACCAATCAGTGCTGACCCCCAGACAGTACACTCAAGCTGCGCTCTGATAAGCCTGTCTTTGATGAGCCTGTCACATAGATGTAGCCATATCTTAGATCAATATCAGTGTCACCTACGCTCAGACGGTGGAATATATTTGAACTTCACAGCAGTGTTCCTCTTCAACAACCTGTCTGTATGGGCCGATATCATGCTGAAACCCCACCGTCAGTCGTCAGACATGAATCAAGTCACAAAATGTGAGCTGACAAACCCCTCACAAGCCCTAATGGTGACAGAGGATATGCTCCAGATGGTAAAGGGGACTTTGGCTTTTCATTTATTCTCTATCTTCAAAGGCACGAGAGGCCTCTGTATCCTGTAGTGTTGTCACTGCCCTGAGGGAAACTTACATCAATGAAAACCAAAAAACCAACAACTGACGCTAGAGCTGACAAGAAGAGCCCATCACGTCAGTGACAATCACTTGATTATATGATAATAAGCCAGGTCTATGCATCCTAAATAATCAACAACCATAAGTGCAAACATAGTGGGAGCTTCTATACTTGAAATGTCAAATTGATACCGGGCTGATTGGAGTTTAATGTATGTACACATTTATCAGAAGGCAGTATAATCAAACCTCAGAGAACAGATCCAGAGAAGCAAAGATTCAAAGTATATCTGATTATTATTCACATCTTTTGAGACATCGCTCTCTGATATGGAGGAACTTTTAAAGTGTTCTTATTTATAATAATTTATTCAATATAAAGTAGTTCAAATGGGCAACAAGACTCATCAGTATCATGAATAATGTGTGCATTCAATTATACACATGACAATTATAGAACCTTTATAGCATTTATCATTTTCTTGCATATTTATCCTTTGCTCTATCAAAATTGCAGTAGCAAAGGTTACAAGTAAGTCAATACACGCTAAAGCCAACTTGGCCTTTGTGCTGTTCACCTTTAAAACAAGATAAAAAAAAAGCAAGAAAGCACATTATTCAATGGCTGGACTAGAAAGTGCTACTGTGGCAATCGACTGAGCTCACAAAGGCAGCTTCAGCAAATCGCTTCCCCTTCCTCTTTAGGAGACAATGTCATTCAATCAATGTCAAATTAACATCTTGAATGCAGTGACTCCCTGCCTGGAAGGGGCAGCTGTGGGGGCTGTGGCTCAGTTGGTAGTGTCGGTTGTCTTGCCAAAGATTGGGGGTTCGATTCCCAGATCCTGCTGCCACATGGGCAAGACACTTAACCCCGGGTTGCTTCCCTCTGCTTCGGCGGCGGTGTATGAATGTGTAAGAATTTGATTAGTTACTACTGATGGTCACTTTACATAGCAACCTCTGTTATCAGTGCCTGGTTGGCTGTGAATGGCTAGTACAATACAAGCACAAGTCCACTGACCATTTACAAAGGGGCCCAACAAACAGTTCGTTTTTTTCTGGATCAAAATAAATAAACCTTTTCATTCAACAGGTCATGGTTACCACTACTTCCATTTCACTACCACTTGCAAACCCCTGACACAAAGTTGGAGGAGGCTTACAACCATAAACTGACAAGATTCAAAAAGTTGTGTGTGCACTATTTATAGACCAAAAAAAACAGTGTTCATGCAGGGGCCCTGGCGTGTTGGCTTGGGTTTTCACGCAGCTTTTATATGGGTTAATTGGGTTGATTCCATATGCAAATATTCTTTTGCATGGCATGTGCATCCAATTTGAGATCAATCACAAGTCATCAACATTCACAGGTGGGTAAGAGCAGATTAAACTCTCAGAGCACGTTCCATTCATCCTACGAAGATCTAATTATTTTTTCCTACTGCTCTGTGAACAGAAAAAAATAAGAGTAAAATAATAAGCATTTCATGCCTGAGGCTCATTTGTCTTTAAAGACACATTGTTTCTGAAGTTTTAAAAAAAGATGTTCTAATCAATATGTATTTTCATATGAACAATAAAGATGTTCTACTGATTCACATTCAGCTTACTTTTTGGATCAAACATGTCTTTTTATGCTTTCACAGCTCCCCAAGTGAAATCTATTGATTCCACAGAAAGTTTTCTGCTTTACTTGTGAGTTTGATCCCGCTCTGTATTATTCACTTAACTCTCAGAGAGTGCGCATTTTATTGACATTACTGTCAATATAGCACATTTAGCCACAAGGCTAGTTTGAAGGGTACTTTAGTTGTGAAATCAATTTTAAAAAGTTTCATACAATGCAGCTCAATTACATTAAGCAGCACAAAACCATGGGTACCAATGAAGCTGGACATTCCCTTTGGATATTGGATCAAATTTAGGATTAAAAAGACGGATTTTCTGACTTTGGCTTTGCACACCGGATGCCTTTTTGAAACCATAATCCGAAAAAAGAAAACGTTACACACAGACACCTTGCACACTGAGTTTTCTATTAATTGCTAAAGCTCACAGTATGAGACAAAATATGTCGAAATCATCATGCCACTCGATCAAGCAGTTAAGATTATTTAATGGTTCTTTCACTTAATTTAAAAAAAACACGTCCGTCCACTCCTGAAAACAAGAGTGAAGAGAGTTGACACCTGTTAATAAAAGAACATTTTTCCTATTGAGAATTAACCCGGTTGCTTCCAGGTGTATTTCAGGATATCAGTGGTTCAGTTTGATACGCTGGAACCAAACTTTAAAAAGAACACCCCAATTTCCTCGAAGCAATTGATCCTGAACAGCGGCTGGCAGTATGTCTGAGGTAGGGACAATACAGAAACAGTGTGCAAACTTGATTGGCATAACATGAGATTGTATTTATTTTTTTAACGTGTCAATTTCGGATGAAAAAACGGACTCAGGCTTTAAAACCTGATGGATACATGCCGTATTACGAAGATTTTGTTGTATTAGACGGACTCCTTCTATAATTGTCAACTCTGTGCTTTGTAAACAAACCAACATTTGGCTGGTGTTTTATGATTATATTTGGCTTAATGTAAAAAGTAATAGGATGGAATATTCATTTTAATTAGCTCTAAAAAAAACTTAATTGGAATGGACTCATTTTGTGAATGTATAAGCGTCATTCTGATGTCATAATTGGATGTTATTTTTAGTTTGGTTGAAGTTCTGTTGTTCCTCTGTCCTCTATGAATTCCAACTAAACTTTTCTTATTATTTCTTTCAATTTTTCTAATCAACTGTTGATCCTGACTGTAATTCCTTTTTATACCTTTTGCAAACAGTTGATGAGACAGTTTTTCATCTTTCAAGATTTCAATTTGCCTTTTGCCCAGACCTAGACATTTTTCATTCATCGCTGAATGATGATGGATAGCATATCACCGAGAGAGACCCAGCCAACAAGTGAGAGGAATACAGATTGTTCAGTGAGCAACATGTTTATGCACAGATATGTCCCAGGAGTTCTATGTGGCAAACAATTCACTGACCTTCTGGTTGTCTGTGTCGGCAAAGGTCAAACCAAAGTAATCCTTCTCCAGCAAGTTGAGGTGCTCACACACCGTGTCCATTAGGGTCTGTCCTTTGGAATGTTTCTGCTGAGACACACATATAACAAATACGTTAAAACGTTAGAAAAACAATAGAGGGGAAGTTTTTTCCTTCTAGATTTCAGAATTCTAAAGTTTACTGCTGCTAAACAGCAGCATTGGGAAACACATGTAAACTGACCTCATTACACAGTTGTTGTAAATATGGCTTTGTTATTCTCTAGTTTGTGGCACAATAAAACAGCACAGCTGTTGACAGAGGTCAAGGTGAGCCTTTCAGGAACATTTCATTTCCATTCAAATGACAAATTCATATTTCACATTCAAGGCAGAGTCTATGTGTGGACAAATAATGCACAAATAAACCCTTCTGCTATGTGTGCTGTAGAAGGCTGAGGCAGCATTTAGTATTGTTCAGTACATTCTCTGTATATTGAGTGGATGCAATTTGTTTATACAAAATATAAATTAAAGCAGTTACACATTTCTTCACCATTTTTCTGCATTTAGGTTAACATGGTAACATCGGAGGGAGCCTTATGATGCAAAAAAAAAAACATTTGTTAGTCAAGTAAAATTTTGTTAATTATTTATAAAAAATCTAACCTGACCCAACTTGATTCATAAATGCTGCTGTGGCTTTAAATTGGGAAAAGTCAGTAATGTTGATAATAAATCCTCTGGCAGGGGCGTGACAGGAAGTGTGGCCAGGGTTGGCATGGGCCCCCATTCAAATCTGATTGGCCACCCCAGTTGCCACCCCAAAATCCAAATCTATGATTGGGTATTTGCCTAATCAATAAATCAATCAATCTTGTATAGCCAATTCATAAAAAAAAATGTATTTCAAGACTCTTCTTCAGACTCTTCTACAAAAAGCAGTTATTATTGTTATTAAATATTTAATCAAATCAGAGGTGGGACTTGTTTTCAACCGCCCAATGGTAGTACTTTCAGTCGTAAATAAATACGTTGCTCTCTCCATAAAAATTCCAAAACTTGTGCAAACTGTTTAACTTGTAATTTACCTCATTGCCAATAAATGTATTATTGTAAGTAAGACAGCATACAAGAGTTTTTATGCAATTTTTTAAGTTCTTTAAATTGTGACATATTTTTGATTCCTGAAAAAATCAAACTACGTTTTTTTCTATTATGTTATTTTCCAAACTTTAGGTGCAGCCACTGCAAAGGCTCCACCCTCTCTGTTTTTAAGTTTTGATCTCAAGAGCAGTTGGTTTGTTGACCAAAGTGGTCTTACTGAAGTGCAAGAGATCAACAACTTAAGAGGGTGCTTATCCATTTAAAACCTTGAAAAAAATCCATTCAATCTTAAAAGCAACCCTGCAGCAGACAGGAAGCCAATGAAGAGAGGCAAAAGTGGGTGTAATCCTGTCATGTTTCTTTTGTCCAGTTAGCAGACACCCTGCAGCGTTTGGTATGAGTAGGAGACGTCAGTGCCTTTTAATGCCCAAACAATTATTAGCTTGGTAGAAGGATCCTGTTATCCAGCGGTCAGGTCTAACATCACTAAAAGTCCCCAGAATCAACAGAAAGGAGGAGGTCATTGTACACTCCCAGCAGAGCTGTTTTAGTGCCTCGGCAATGGCATGATTTAAAACCCGACTGAAACTTTTTAATGGGCCTCATGATACTCTAGGTTTTCCCTTGGCTGTGAGAAAACCACTCTCTCTATGACTTTAGATAAAAAAAGGGCAGCTTAGAAATTGGCTTAAAGTTTATCAGGCCAGAAGGTTCCAAGTTATGTTTTTAATCAGAGGCTGAACTAAAGCATGCTTAAAGGTCACATATTATACTCCTGTTCAACAAGTTTAAATACGTCTGAGAGCTGCCCCAAAACATGTCTGTGAAGTTTCTTGCTAAAAAATCCATTCTTATCCTGTATGCCTATAAGCCCCTCTTTGGGAGTGTCACCCACCTGGGGGAGGGGTTACTGCCCTTTGTGATGTCATGAAGGGAAAAAATCTCTAAATGGCCCGTTTGAGCACACATTTTCTGAAAAGTGGAGCAGGCAAAAGATGGAGAGGGTGGACTTTTCTTTTAATGGTTTTATTATAGACAGGCTAGGGACACATATAAGTGTTAGAAATCCATGCTAAAGTGTATTTTGCATAACATCAGCTGGTACATACCCTCACCATAGAGAGGGATTTTTAAAAACACTCCAATTGCTTGAACAACACTTTTCAATTGGTGATTCTGAGGGCTGTTAGTGGCCCACAAACGATGAACTGTATAAGACAATAAAGACAAAGATTGCTCGAAGACAGCAGGGCATGTGGAAGTAACAGAAGGATCCTGTGGAGGGTGGAGACCTTAGAGCAGATATTTTGTCAATAAAATGTTTTTGAAAGTCATCACAAAGTTCAGCTGAGGGCACAATACAAGCATAGTCACATGGATTTATGAGAGAGTTAAAAACATTGAAAAGTACATGAGGCCTGTGACTGTTCATGGAGACAAGGTTATACAAATACTCTAATTTAAAATGTTCAACTGCTCTGATAACCAGACAGTCCCACAGAATTTCAAAGGAAACTATGGCCCAGACTGAGGTTTAGAGTGTGTAGTCCTAAAAGTGGGCGACAGAGTCCAGGATACCAGTACAAGGGGAATTAAACATGGCTGTGAGCTTATCAGCCACAGGACTACAGTCATCAGCCACCGCCGTGAGCACAGAGTCTTTAAACATGAGTGAAAATTGGGAAGCAGTTAAAGCGTTAACTGCATGCAGACGGCGTGCTGAAACCAAATCACCATAAACTGTAAAAAGGGAAATGATCCGAAATGAATGCACCACAGATTTCAGAGATACACACACATAAGCCATTAGATAGTTCAAGGTCCAGTGTGTGACTCTTTTTCATGTGTCAGGCCAGTCACCGACTGAGTGAGATTACAAGAGTCAATAAGATTCAAGAAGTCCTTGATTGACCACAGGTTTTGATTCACAACACACGTGAATATTAAAATCACCAACAATTGAGATAAATTGTCATATATAACACATCACGAGCAAGGAAATCTGAGAAATCGTGAATATAATCTGCGTTGAATTTCAGTAAACGATACAGCACCGCACACAGCATGGGAGGACTTTCAAATGTGAAGCTCAAAGTTGAGGTATCACTATAAGAGGGAGGAGGGGATAAAATGACTAATAACTGGAGAAATGCTTCAATTACGGTGGCAGTAGCTCAGTCTGTAGGGACTTGGGCTGGGAACTGGGTCGCTGGTTCAAGTCCCGGTGTAGACCAAAATGGAAGTTTGTCTGATAGCTGGAGAGTACTGCAGAGGTGCCCTTAAGCAAGGCAGCGGACCCCAGACTGCTCTGGCACGCCCCTGTATAGCATATCCATTCTGACATATGTCCACAGGTCCTGTCCATGTGTGTATTTCAGGTGTGTGTGTGTGTGAGAAGCATGTCTCTCAATAACGTAGTGTAAACCAGAATTTCCCTCAGGGACTACATGAAGTTATGAGAGTACTCAAAAGAATTGTAAATGCCCAGGCTTAGATCTAACAATAAACTGTAGTCCCTCTCGTATTCCATTCTTCCTCAGGTTTTATACATCATAGTATATAATAAAAAACTCTTGACATTAGTTGCCATGGTTGCTCACTGTTTAAGACACACAACTGGAAGCTAGAAGAATGAAACTTGATTGGCCAGACAGTTGCCTGCCTGTGCTGAAACAAGATTAATTCTGATTTAATACTCCAGTCCTTAATAGATGCTTAAAAGGGAATTTGCGGGGCACTGGTACCCTAGTGGTTAGTGCGTGCACCCCATGTAGAGAGGCTGTAGTCCTCCAAGCGGACAGCCCAGGTTTGAATCCAACCTGTGGCTCCTTTCTTGCATGACATTCCACACTCTCTCTCTCTCCGATTTCGGACTTTATCCACTGTCATATCTCGACAATAAAGGCATGAAAAGCCTAAAACATACACTTTAAAAAAAAGGGGGGGGGGGGGGGATGCGGGATTTGTGTGATGTTTGGGAGGTTCCATCTTTCTCTTTGATTAATATAGTTGATCTAACGAAGCAGTCCTTGTCATTTAATTTGTTCTGTTTTATTCTGATATCGTGGTGCTGATCACACGGGATGCACAATGTGTGGATGGTAATGTGTGCTGTAGGTAAGGTTGTTTTATGAGCTGTGGTAAAATGTCACTCTCCTCCTGACGTCTGAAAACATGGAAGAGCGCATGTGTACGGAAAAAAGCAACAGAATCCCTTTTAAGTTATTATAAACATCACTGAATGAGAATCTGTCCCCTCACAAGAAATGTTAATCTAAATGCACAGTTAGGAAAAGGTCGTCCTTTTTACCTACAACAATTTACCTCATTTTTGTTAAAAGAAAAAAAAACAACTGTGGAGAATCTATTACCACTTATCCTTGAAAAAACTATTGTTGCAAAATGTGTAATTTATCAGATCATTATTACTGTTCAATATTTAAAACAGACATAATTGGTAAACCAAACAAGGAAACACACATCAGTGTGTTACTCTCACACAATAGGCGTCTCATCCCTGTTTCCCTGGCGAGCTGTTGCCAGGGAAACAGATGCAGTATTTTACCTCAATTCAATTGCCTTGTTTCCTTATATCTCAAGGCTAGGATTTGAAATTGTATTTCAATTTTGCCTTATTATGGGTGAAAGGATGTTGGAACAACACTTGGGAAGTCAGTTAGTAGGTCCCTAACATTAACATTAAACTGTCAGTGTAAAGCACGTGTATGTAGTGAACTAAGCAGCAGGAAACAATTCACCATGTGAAGTCTTATTCATTCATGACTGAAATCATCCAGTCATTTAGCTCCCTGCTCTGGAACAATTACATTTAGACCGTACAACATAGATATAAGCACTGCAACATGTGTGGACACCAAAGTGTCTTTGCAATGTGAAAAGAAAACTAAGCAGCATATATCCATATCGGTAAAGCAAAGGCTTGACCATGCAAAGTCAGCCAGGTTACACCAAGAGAGCAGATGGGGAGAATGGATAGGAGAGGTGCCTTGTCTTCTTTTTTCTGGGAGAATTAGCCACACATCCATGACAGGAGACTTAATTTACCAATGAATGCGCCCCCAAAGCGTGGCCTGCTTTATCACAATGATGTTATGAGGAACTCCTGGAAGCAAAGAGTGAGTTTTGATATGGAATGCACGATGTTCCACACCCCGGCAATTAAAGACAGAAACTGAGTGCAAGATTTGTCCATGACCTGGAGGTCTGAAGCTGAACACACTCTAAATAAAACATGGGCTGACAAGAATGCTGCTTTGTACATCTTTCTCTGGTTATGATTGGCAGTGCTGCAAGGGCAGGTGAATATTTGAGAAGAGCACTTCAGACACAAAAGCTTTCATAAACATTATGCTAACTATTGTCGTGTTGCGGAAAAGCTGCAAGGTATTTCCGAATGTTGTCATAGTGCTGAGGGAGAGGTTAGTGCAAGCATAGCATTCCTGATATTCTTACCTCACACACACTACAAAAAAGCGCCCTTCCCCCAATACTAGAACACACACACACACATGCACTCTCACACACACACAAAGTTTCAAGCACTTGAGCAAAAGTATCCTAAGGGCTGGCTGATAATAACATTGCTCCTCTATTTTCTCCTTGGCTGCACCTGGCTTGCAACCATGTAATAACTATAGATTTTCAAAAAGCCAGTTAGCGAGCTTGTTCCGAAGCAGAGGCAGCGTGCCTATTCAACACGGCGAGGCTTGTTTGAAAATTAAATGCAATTAGTTACACAATTCAATTATATTTGAGAAAATAGAAGCATTATTTGCTTCACATGGTAGTAAGATCACATCATCAGAAGTTTGTATCCATCATGCATTGCAATGTTAAGCCTTCCGCCCTGAAGACAAGTGAGCAGATGTAACGTTAGGCATGAACAATCTCTAAATAAATATGTAGTTATAAAAGTGATTCAAAATGGGTGATTGCTGAGCTACTGCTTCGGTGACGTTTTCAAATGTTCCTCCAAGTGTCTTAAAAATAATATGTCAAATGAAAGAATTTATGTGTATGTTTTAGGGGGTAAGACCCCCCCCCCCCTTGCTTGAGGTTAGAAAATCCCACAGCACCACGAAGGTTCAGTAACCAAAATGTATTGTCTTGTTTGTAGAATCTGAATACCAGCATTGTAGACTGAGAGTCTGTGATTTGACCTGGGTTAATGTACAAAGTTTAATGGACGAAGACATCACCAACAGGATGTCCTGATGTCCATTCAAACAAGCGCTGCAACTTGCTTTGTTTATCTTTCAGTGACCTGCAGTGTACTTGCAAGCCAAGGTCGGACAAATCACCTGCTACTGTGTATCAAAACACATCTAATTAGGGTGACAGAATGACTAAATACAGAGTGTCAAACTCTGAACCCACAGGTTGCTGTGCACTTTAAAAGCAATATATAAAGCTGGGACATGTCATCTGCCTGATTCCCATAGTGGTCACCTGTAACTGTTTAGCCACGCACTCCAAAAAAAAATGTTAAGTATACATCTCCAGTCACAGTCCATGCTACATCAAACACATTTCTTGCTGAATAAATGCAGTAGCAGGGTGCTGAGCTATGACACAGGCTGGCTGCTATCAAGTGGCCTTGACAGAAGCCTGATTCAACTCAGTGTCAGCTGAGGCACAGAGGCAGTGGCACCAGACCTAACAAACATCTAAATCTACATTTGAGAGTCTGGAAAGATTTTGGATGAGGGGAATCCTATGTTTAGCTGTGAAAAGAAAAAGCTTAAAACATCAAGATTATAGGAAATAAAACTGGCCCAAATGTTATTTAAGTTAGTGAACGAGTGAAGTATGGACTACGGAAGAAACTATAAAACTTTGAAGCAGGTCTGAGTTCCACTCAGGGACAGAGGAAATGATGGATCCAACACATAACTAGAATAATTCTTACAGTATGGAGCTATTTCCAGATGTAGTGATTTGATTTGCATATAATTGAAAATTGACTGTTGGACTTTGCAGAGGTCAGTGCTCTTAGATTGTCATGTTCGTAAATTCCTCCCACTACAATGCCGCAACAAATTGAATAGCAATGATAGCATAACAGCTTGTGATGCTGAGAGGAACTTTCTGTTTGCAAAGTTGTTAAAGGTCCAACATACGTACGATATCTACTGATTTAATCATAAAATGACCTTACTGCATGAGGAAACGTGTTATGTTGAAGTGCTGGCTTCTCTGTTAACAGCAGCAGCTGGCACGTCCTACTTCTGGTTCATGGTTTGTTTTTGTTTTGACCAGAGTAGGAGGTGGTTTTATGGCACCACCACACGGCTGTTATGGACAGCAAAACCAGCAGGTGTTGCAGCAATTAAAGCCGGCAAGAATACTGGTTCAGATATAACTGCTTCTGTCAGTAAAAAGCCTTTGCATTTTTTAATAAGCTCCACGACCAGAAACGTGGTAAAACTAGGATAAATATTAGAGATGCTTTTGAAAAGAAAGAGTTTAGAGCGCAAAAAAGTTTCAAGAACGATGATTACTGTCCGCTACATGGCAACTTACATTTGCCTCGACTCAGGAGACAGCTCTCTCAAATGTTTTGAATCTGGACTGCAGTAGCCATTTTAAACGCTAGGTGTCAAAGATACATATTGCTCCTTTAATTAGGTTGTAGGTGTCTTGTGCTTTAATAGTGTTACCTGCTTTTGTCAGCTAGTAGACTAAAACTAGCTCCTAATGACCAGAAACATTGAAAAGACAGTTTGTCTCATTGCATTTCTCTGGTGCAGGGTACTGACATCAAGCTCTTCTGTCTTCTCTTATGCATGCCTCCAGCTTCTTTCAGTGAAAGGCAAGGGACACACATCTATCTCTTCTTCCTCACTTTTGCATGTCTACAGTTGCTTTTACCACCATGAGGGAATTTTCCTTTTTCACACTACTGGAGTAATGACGACAGATTTCTTGGGGGAATGAAGGCTTTCATATTGGGCCTTTATTTGTGCCATTGAGTGTAGTACAGAAATGTGTAACATTGCTTTTGCTTCGCCCTCCTAGTGAGCTCTCAGCACGGCATCCTCTCTTTTATTCTCTTTGCCTGTTTACTCCTCGTGCTTCCAGTATCTGCGCAGCACAGTGCAACACTGCCTGCAAGAAAAGACCAACAACAAAGCCAAAAAGAACATTGCTTTTCTAATGGTTTGCTCAAAGCATCCTCTGGCTTACTCCAGAACAATATGTTACAGACAAACTGTTTCCCATTAGACATACCTCGATTTCTCCTTCATACTCAGCGGTGTCCAGCAGGGTCACCTTGAAAGGAGCGGTTTTAAATCGTTTGGAGCCTCTCTGTGGAGATTTGAGGTTTTTGTTCGGGGACGTCCTCTCAGACATGTCATCTGTTTCTCTATGTTCATCCAGGTTCTTGGAGTTCTGCTCCTTAACATAAAAATATTTAAAAAAAAGAAGGTTACTAGTGATACAAATGATCAGTCATCTTTTTTCAGGAGGAACATTTCATGTGTTTATCACTGTGTCAGATTTTAGTAAACATCCTTAAAAGTCATTTCAATGTAAAGGCCTCAGGTCATGATTTAGAGTCAGCATGGAGGCTTTGTTTGCATTTTAGTCAGTGTGCACGCATTTAAACAAGGGAGGGCTCTTTAATAGCGTAGCCGCCAACTACTTTATAAAAGGAAGATGTAAGTTCCTTGGCTTATTAGGATACTGACAGTTTTTGTCAGAGCAGAAAGCTTCACACCTTTGGCTCAAAGGCTGGAAACAGACTTGACAATGACACATACACTGTTTGACAAACATAGAGACAAATCAGTGTGAAAGTTAGACGTGTGGTTCATTGCAAGAACATTAGAAACATCTATGTTAGCCCTGAAATAAAATAAAACAATAATTGATCACTCAAATGCAGTGAAAAATGGGATAACTTGCAAGTAAATAAAGAAAGAAAACACTGTTTAGTTTTACAGAAATAGCACACCCAGAAGAGGAATCATAGACAAAGTGAGAAGCCTGGTCTACAATCCAAGAAAATACAACTCGCTCATTTTAGTGAGAACTCCATTTCATCAGTGTGGCCCGTATGAGCGCAGTAACCACGGTAACTTCGTAATCAGAGCTAGCCTGCTCCAGGGCAGGATAACTGTCCACCTATCTTACTGTGTGTCAGAAAAAGTCCAACGGGTTGAAACCGGCTCATCAAAAGAAGGTTCAGCCGGGCGTTTTGTTACGCTCGCTTACATATTCAATTAGGCTCAACTTTTGGATATTTTTACAACAGTGTGACTGGGTTAGGAACATAGATTGTAAAACATCATGTGTGCCCTTTTGGTCACAATGCAACCAATAATGAATGCAGGGTTTTACTTTAGTTTCAAAGACAATATCAAAAAAATTAAACATCTCATCTCTTTTAATGTCCCTAGAAATCCTCTGGAATAACAATCACCCAATAAGTTACATTTTATTCATAAAGCACAAGTCAGACATGGAATAACAACATTGAACATTACAAAGTTGAACGTAACAAACATTAAAAAAGCACTGGGTTAAAGTTTACAAATATCCTTTTTTTTAAATTTGCGTTCAAGGCTGGTCACTCATTGAATGTGTGTAGAAAAGAGAATAAAGGCCAGAGTCCATCAGGTTAGTAGACAAAGGTGTAGGGTTGGACTATATAAGCAGTTAATCAAAGGAGCACAATCTTTCCGACCAACTATGGCGTGTGCTTTCATTAATGACCTCGTCAGTGAAGAGTGTGAAAAGCTCTTTGCTCCTGCAGAGAGCTTTCACACTCTTCAGGAGGAGTGAGGACTTCAGGCGGAGGACCCCCACCAGCTTCAGAGGTGTCTGTCCTTGATTTGCTGCCTAATCGTTTGAACAAACACATTTCAAATTATATTGCAGGAAATGTACCACTCTGAAAGAAAAATTCTATACTTTATTTTGACCTGTCTTTTCCTGTTTTTGGCTGTTAAGAGCTACAGCTGACTTGGAAAATGAAACATGAATGTAGGACAGGGTTAGTGGGTAAGTAGGTCATAGGGGCTTCACACACACTTCACCAAATTGGGTCAATTGACACTAAAAGCCTTGAAATCAAGACAGCGCTCGTTAAATAGTCTAAACTATCATTTTAAACATTGATCTGATATCATGTAGCTTACTGATTTGATTTAGCCATGATCTTGCATTTTCTAGTTATCTGAATGTTTATTAATAAAACACAAATAACTCAATTAAACAATGAAAAGGCTTCTTTGGCTTACATATTTTTTTTTACACATTATTGTCTTTTCAACAATTAACTGTTCTGGGCTTCTTATACATCCCTCACAGAGCACACATGATGATAATTAAAGTCTGACTGGAGTTAGTTTTGACTAGCCACGGCTGAGTCGTGTTAGTGGAATAGATTGAGGCTAAAGTTGAAGCTAATTAAAGTAAGGTAAGCTTTGTTAGCTGTTTGGATGGAGTACCCACTAGTATAGCTTATAGGAACTCGTTTACCTGTTTGGCCATCTTGCTTTCCGAGGCGGAGTCCTGCATGCCTGCTGCTGCCCCCTGCTGTCTCGGAAGACTCCTCTCCTTATTTCTTCACCTCGGACTCAAGTGCCTGCCTCTGATGCTTCAGCAAAGTAACGCCAACCTATGAAGGGACAAGAACAAAGCAAAATGTATCATCTGAGGTCTCAGCTGAGTGCCGCCTTGTCTACCAAATACCATGTCAAACGCATTAATGCATGCTCTCTTCCAGAGTCAAAAGAGCCCAGATGACAGCAGGTGCTTCAACTTTAGGCTGAGTAAAATTCAGAACACGAACGCGCTCACCCCCCCAAAACAATAAAGGCACAAGCGCCAGGATAGAACCTTCATTATAAATTCTGAAAGCTGTGGCTTCTCGATACAACACATTTTCCACAGACACAATCCACCTTGCAGTCAAGGACATTTTCTTTAATTATAAAATCCCTCACTGAGCCAGATAATGATCATCTATTTAAGCAAGACGAGCTTTAGCACTGAGAGGACAAAAAAAAAAAAGAATTTTGGAATTAAGAAATGAGCGCTCGCGCCAGCACTTAGCTATCGACGATGCACACCTGCAGTCACAAAGGGTTTAAATCAAATAACTGATAAGAGTGCAATCAGTCATCCAAGAGTGGATATGAATGCTTGTACAGCTCGTGTATTGCTTCATTACTGTACCTGCCTAAAATACAGAACATGGACAGGTAATATGAGAGCCTATGCCATGGCTGTGTTTCATATGTCTTATAAAGAAACATATAACTTGGACCCACACAGAGGCACGCTGTATAGAGTTCAACAGCTACTTTATTTATCTATCCTCATTCTTGAAGGTGTTTTTCTTTTCTGTTCAGCCCCTCCACAGACTTTTATATAAACTTCTGCATCATTTAGTTTTTGTTTTTTTCCCCCACATTTTTCTGGAAATCATTTGGAATTTGTTGCCTTCTGTGGCAGGTTTTTTTTTTGGGGTGTGGGTGGACTGAACAATAACAACAGCTGAAGTGAAGAAGCGCAGTCAAGTGTGTCCGTTTAGAGTGTGTACTTTCAGCCTACTGTATAAACAGAGGCTCACAAAAAAAGGATGTTCAAGTATTTGAGGACATTTTATTGAGACTTTTCAATATTGAGACAGGTTTAAGGGGGATTCTTCATTCCTTCTCTTCGATTTATTTTGAGTAAATTCCCTGTGAGGAGAAACCGGCTGTAGTTCAAGTGATGTCTCTTTATGAACTACAAAAGCAAACAAGACCATCACTGACTAGTCCAGCTATTTTAGTAGTGTGATTTTTAATGCCTGTAACTGATGCCATGAGGTGGGTGACAGCAAGTTATTGATTGATGATAAAGGTACTCTGAAGAAACCGCCTATTTTAACATTTACACAACAAATGTTTACTTTATTATTAAAGTCAATATACATTTGACTTTTAAATAATAAAGCAGGATGAGACTTTTTGTCAGAAAACACTACTATTGCATGTAAAGAACAAGATCAGAAAATATAAATGATATACTGCAATGTCCACAAGGGGGCAACAAAATCAACACAAACAGAAAGTTCCTCACTGGAGCTTTAAAGCTTTTTTTAAATTGATTTGTGCTAAATTAATTAAACCTGCTGTTTTTTTCTGAGGGTAAAATGTCAAGATTAAGGAGTTCAATTTAAAGTTGTGTATCTTGTAAGTCTGAGGCTACAGTGAGAAGACATGAAGGAACATACATCAGGGTCGAACGTCTTGCCAAGAGCAATCATTCCCTTTGCCTGGCAACCTCACAATGACAAAAAGACCTTTGACCTCTGCATTTGAAGGGATTAAACAAACAGGATACAATGTGTTAGTTTTTGGAACATGGACTGTGTTTCTTTGGAAACAGGCTGGCTAGCTATTGTATCCTTTTATCAGCTAAGATAACTGTGTCCTTGTTCATTTTGTTCATTACAATTTGACATAACATAAGCCAATGTGGGATGGTTATATTTATGTGAGTGGTGCAAAAATGTAATTCCCATTGTCTGAATTACATTTTAGTCTTTAACCTGCACACCCACTACACAAGCTGGACGTGAGCTAACAGAGCTCGTTCTCCACTGGCTGATCACAGTAAGTCCTTTCTCTTAACTCTTAACTGTAACTTAGACCGTGTAATGAGGAATAAAGCCCAATGAATACACCTCTGAAGGACAGTTGCGTGTATTCATATGTATTTTTAAAGTCTTCTTTATATGCGCCTCAATGATATTTGTCCAGTTTGTATGTTGTGTCTTATCGGATATTGCAGCTGCTTTGATGGTGTCATTTCCTGCAAATGATTAATAAAGTATCTATATATCTAAGAATGAAATGGGCCTCTAAGCCCAACATGCAATGAATTCCTCCTTGGATAGTTGGTCAATGTCAGGAGAAAGTAATGATTGAACACGAACTATGTGATTCTGAAGACTGAATCCAAACAATAGTTAACATTTAACAGCCGACTGCGGAGATGAAATTGTCAATTTTTGTCCGCTTGCTACAGATTGATTTCATATATATATTTGTGTGTGTGTGGTTTTTTTTTCCAGCAGATGAAAAAGGTGCTTATGACCCTGGATCATGGTCGTCTTTGACCTCATATAAAAAAGAAGGACAAGGTGCATAATGTGGAACATATCCTCAGCGGGATCTGCTCAGCACAGCATATACGAATAATGCCTGTGTATTATAGAGCTCTCCAGACAATACTCCAGGACCTTGTATATAATCCATTCTCCATGTGACCCTAGATGTCTCTTTGCCCCACAAGCAGCAAATCACATCCACATAGTGCACTTGGGGGTGGTGGGCGATCATGGATGACAACTGAGGCGGGACCACAACCGGTTCACACTGGTTCAGAGGAGAGACAACTCCCCCCCGACTCCCAACCAGGGAAGGGCTTGACATATTGCAAGTGGTTAAAGGAGTGTGAAACCCTCCCCCCCCCTCCCCCCCATCACTATCACAACCGTCACATTACTTACAATCACAGTGATTTGACAGAAATGAATTCTCCACCTTGGGGATAAAAGCCGTGTTTAGAGTGGTACGTCCGCTCAGGGCTTCATTTAGCCCTTTGCAGTCTCATCCAGCTGGGAACTCGGCTATGAGTTGTTAAATCAATTTTCCTCCACTGTCGGAACGGCAGATATGACTGCCAAGTAAACTCCCTGATTGGAGAGGAAAAGCTCCATCAGGTATAGTGTTCTGATGGCAGAGGAGGTAAACACTGAGTCATGATTCTCCGTTATCGCGTTTGCCTCCCGGACTGATTGCTTCAAGCTGAAAATAACGAGCGTCTCCCCTGTGCACTGTACAGGTGAACATTCTCTCACTCTGTCCAAGTGAAACAGAAGCTCATGTCCCCCCTCACTTAACATCCATCTGGGCTGCATCCTGCATGACACAATGCGTTCATCTGCAGCCGTATGTGTGCGTATGTCTGTCACGGATGTGCTGTGCTCATATATAAAAAAAAAAAAGCGCCAGTCTTTTCATTTCTCATCCCCACTGCGAACATTTTTCACTTTTGTTCTGAACATATTCTTGAGGACACATTTTCTAACCATAATGTTAGACGGATCGTTTCTGTTGCCTTGAAACAGCCATGAAGGATCTTAATAATCAGCCGATAATGAAAAAGCCTTTCGAGGACACATGCAGATGCATGCACACACCAATCACATCATCCAAATTAAGTTTGTAGTCAATGGGGTCCCTTATTGAGACATATTCTCATGAAATCAGATTAATTGCCAAATTAATACAGATTGATCTCGTGGAGAGAGGCAGTAGAGCCCTTCGAGAGCATTAATTTCCTGAGACAGACCATTACCCACAATCGCCTCTGTCGACCCGGCGATCACTGCAGAGATGAAGAAAGCGCCTTACAGTGCAGGAATACACTGCAGGTCTCCTTTGTTGTACACATTGCACAGTTCACAAACAATTTCTGTCTTTGATATTTGCCACGAGCAATAATGATTCATCACAGACAAAGGCACACAGTTTCCTTGGAGGGTTATGAAACGCCATTGTTCCCTCACAAGTGTAGCCTTTTTCCATGTTTCTCCATGTTTCTCCTGCCTCGTCCTCTTTCCCTTCATTCTCATCAGAGGTAAGCTTTCATCTAAGCGAGGCGAGAGGAAGGAGAGCGAGAGAGAGCGAGAGAGAGCACGCATGTCTGTGGAAGAGTCCTGGCTCCGCTCATAGATGCAGTTGCCATGGTAACAGCATAGAGTACTTTTTTTTTATTCAAAAAAAAAAAAAAAAAAAAAAACCCTGATCGTCTCTCTACTCAGAGTGAAAGAGAAACACAGCGATGAGCCAAACGAGCACAGATGAGAGGCAAAACGATAGGCCGGCCGGAGAGACAGAGGGATCAAGGATGAACTGGAGAGATAAGAAATGACGACAGGGAGGAAATAAGCTGTTGTGGCATGGTTCCTCAAAGAAAAATGTCAGCTTCCCCTCTGGTTAGCAGTGGAGGAGCTGCACACAGCTGCTGCTGTACACAGGACAGAGGGGGAGTTTAAAGCAGCGACGCAGGCTGGTGCTACAAACAGCCCTATTCCATCTACCAGCAAACAGAACCTGCTCCTCAATCTGAGTCCTGACAGTGCATAGTCATCACTACCTGGCAGATACACAACACTAATCCCATTGTACAACCCATGGCTGTGCTCTGAGGTCTTAATCACATTTATTCATTACCATGTTCAGAGCACTCCATGCAGCCGAGTAATCACAGAGACACTGCACCGACAGGAAGACGGAGCACAGCAGTGACTGCAACGCATGTCTTCCTTTAAAACTTTTAAAATGTAGTTTAGAGAAAGAATGCAAAGGTCTGCAGAGATCATCCATTAGTCATCATGTAAAATGCTTCATCACACTAAATTATACGCATTAGTCGCTTCAAAGAGGGTCGAGTGGCCGGTCATGGTGGAGATTCATGTTTTGACCTTCTAGTTTAAGGTCAGCGGGGTCAGATAGAACAGACACATCCTTGACATGTGTTTGTAGTGTAAAAAAGAGAGAGAGCCACGGTGAGACAGCGTGAGGAGTGGTGTTACACTGTGACAGCTTTGAAATGACT